TTTCCTACACCTAGACACCACTTTTAAAGCTTCAGCCCTTTCTAAAATTAAGAGTATAATTACAGTTTTCAGCGAGCATGAAAAAATTAGGTGAATGTATTAAAAAAAACATTCAAAGAGAAATTTTGCTTAAAAAAAAATTAGTAAAATATTTAGAAGGATAAAATGACTAAATAATTAAAGTATTTAAAAACATCAGTAATTATTAAATTAAACGTTCTCAACTTTCAAAATCCTCAGCAATTGGACATCACTTTACAGAACCAACATATTTTGACAAATTTACATGCCATTAAATGCAGTTACTGGAATGTAAGAAACTTTAGCATTAAATCTCTATACATTATCATTTCCTGTAAAATATATATTTATATATATATATGTATTTATAGGTTTACAGCAGTGTGGTATCCACTGTTGTCAATACCACAATAGTTTTGATTAACATACCTGTAAATAATAACAGCTAAATTACATTTTTTTTATATCTCTTTGTAGAAACAAGTAATTTACACTGACTATTTTTAGTAAAATATTTTAATAATTTAAACTACACTTGAAAATATTACTTTGAAATAACTTATGTATGCAAAAAATAAAGTCCTTCATTAATTATTTTAAGCATTATTTATATTTCGAAAAGCTAATTTCTTAAAAGTGAGATATTATGACGACACATGCAAAGAAACTACTCGCAAAGTGTTAGTAAATAATGTATAATAATTGTTTTCAGAATAAACAAAATCAAAACCTAATTCACTTGTTTTTAGAACAAACACTATAAAGTATGAAGGAGAAACAAAACCTAATTCATCAATTGCTTACAGAACAAACATTATAAAATATGCAAAAGAATATAAAACCATTATCCATTCTTAAATAAACAATATAAAATATGCAGAAGAAATGAAACCTAATTCATTGTAAATTTTTAGAATAAGCATTATAAAGTATGCAGAAGAAACAAAACTAAATTTATTGTTAAGTCAGTTAATACAAAATTCAATAGTATGAGGAAAACAGTACATACATACTTTCTTTCAGAAACTTAATTACAATTAATAATTCAATTTTACACAATTTACAAGTACAACAATTTATAATCCAAAAAGTTTTTGCCAGGTGTTAGAATTTTATTTGTTCATATTAGTTCAAAATAAGTGTTTCGTCATTTAAAATTGCATTAATTATTATGATGTAAAAAAATATTATACCTTGCAATACAAAATATTTTCGATAATTATTAAACAAAATACTAAAATGATCTAGAAAAAATAAAACAAAGTTAATAAAATCTAAGAGAAAAAGGACCACTGGTTTTGACATTCTTGATACGCTACAAAATTTTTTGAAGTCAGCAAAGTTTTGCAATTCTCTATAAAATGTTATTTGTTAGTTTATTGCAACTATGCAAACAGCTGCAATGCACTAGAAAGAGTTCCTTCAGCTCTTTTTAGTTTTATTACAATGAGCTCATTTAGGCTAACTACAAATGTATCATTCATCACCTTTTTATTAGCTTTCTAGTAGTATTTAAGTCAGTTTGCAATAAACACAGAATAGAGAAGGCTTATTGTAAATAGCCTTATTAAAGGTTTATTGAAATAACTCTAAACAAAATCGAACAGATTCTATACACATTTCCCCTAAAGGCATGTAGGGTGAATAAGTCTTTATCTGACACATAGGAAAATACTGAAGCCTACAGCTTTGAGAAATGTTGTTGAATTTTTCAATTACCCTAAAAGGAATCTTTAACCATATGAAACAACAGCTTTAAATTATATTAGTTTTTAGAAAATAGCATTTGCCAAACAGTTTAATTAAGAGTTCTATTTTATTCAGAAATACTACTTTAAAGTTAGAAAAGGAACACAATTTTCTTTAGCAAACAGTTCTATAAAAAGCACCTTTTTGAAATTGGCTTTTGATTTTTAACTATAAAAAATGTAATACATTACAAAAATTTTTAGATTATAAGTTATTGTACAGCAATATTTCGCAAGTTGTGTAAATTTACTCCAATACATAGTAAATGTGACCTGAAAATTTGTCTACACATACTAGAACATTATCAAGCAATAATTTTAAAACATGTCAGTTTTTACAATGTGACACATTTGCCAACGGTTTAAGACAAAATTCCCGAGACAAATTATTAAGCAAAAGAAAGGAAATTTGTTTTTACCAAAACTAATAGGGCAAAACATATTTATAGATTTACTTCACATAAACCACAACATTCATTTTAGTTTACTAAACTAATGCATATTATACACATATGACATAATTATACAATAATGAGAGCACAACACATTCATGATTTTATCAACAAACATTAGTTTTTGAACAAATAAATGTGAGTAGTTGGCATTTGGTCACAGAAGAAAGTGCAAAATGGCACACATTATTTGTGCTAAACAAGAAACAGCTATGTCGGAATTTTCTTTATGGTGGAATTCATACTTTTGAGCACTATTCGTAACTGAGATCTTCCTTACCGATTCAAATCTATTTCTAAATTACTCAAGGTGAACCAGGATAAATTGTTAGATGTGAATTCCTGTTACAAATAATTTCAAAAAGCTTTGAACTCACTTTTTTATTTAACAAAAATATTATACTGTGTGATTTAACGAAACACAAAATTTAAAACTTGTCTAATAAATAGGGTTCACACCGGCAAAGTGGGAATTTAGTGTTCAATAGGACCATCAAGGTAGTCATTTGATCATTCAAAAACTTAATATGGGAGACAAACTTGAGAAAAAAATTGAACATTTACATAATTCATGTTATGGCACAATAATTGCTATCTATAACAACCTAAAACTAATTAAGTTTATTATCTCATAATTATCAAAAACTAGTATTTCTTAAAACTAAGTGAACCAAATAAATAAATGGGGAAATAAATAAATGGGAAAATAAATAAATGGGGAAAACAGAGAAAGTAAGAACTAACAAAATATTATATTAAAAATTAATAATCGAAAAATTATAAAATTTTAAATAAAGTCAATTCTAAAAAAGTAAAAAAAAAATATTAATTTTATCGATGAACAATTATGCTGCCTGTACATAAATGTAAAAAACAGCACAACATGTAGATTTCAAGATTTAAATTTAATTTTTTGCACCAGACAGTTATTCCATTTGAATACAACACATTTGAATTCCCCGCAGATCAATAAAATTAGAATTTTTTATTTTATTTAATTACATGAATTTTGATGTAAAACACCTATTCTTCATAACTATTTTGAAACTTTCTAACATATTTCAAGGTGACAAATTTGTCGCCTATGTGTACGATTTTAGTGATCTTTGTAGAACATTTGGCAATATTTGTAGAACTAGGCGTGAACCCTACTAATAAAAGTGTAAAAATGATTTTTTATGCATTTATACACGTAAGACTTTTTATTTAAAAAATTCTTTTAATAAATATAAAACCACAGATTATACAATTCATGACAGCAACAGTGAAAAAAAATTTAATTAAAATTGATACAAAACTTTTGTAAATATTTATACTAAATTCCTCTTTTATACACAGATTTAGCAATAATGACACTGACTGGATAAAGAGTAAAGAATTTCCTTTAAGCTACTGAAATACAATCTTCGAGAAATAATAGAAGAAATTTTGAATTCAAGAACCCTGTGTAAATAACCATAAAAAAATGTTTGAAGAATTTTTTTTTCTAGTTCTATTATTATAATTTTGGTTTTCATGAATGTTTTTTGTGAAGAAATGTAGTAACTACTCTTTTTTTAATCTTTCACCTATATTATAAACTAGAAAATAATATTTTCAAAACCTAAAATAATTTTAAAGCATGTAATTCAATTTTTTTCGAACATGACTAGCAAGGACCTCATAGAATCTCAGAGATTAGGGAAATTCTTTCCTTAGAGAGGTATAGAGAGAAGAGTAGGAAGGTTAAGGAATGAAGAAAATATGGCAAAGAAGATACTTGGATTAATGAGTAAATGGAGAGAATACTGGAGATCAAAGTGTAAAAGATAAAAAGGATTGGTTTAGAATACTAAGAGATGCTATTTTCATATTTATTCTGTTAGCACTTAACTGATGAAATATATATATATATATATATATATACAGTCAAACCCCGCTATAGTGAACATGGTTTATAGTGAACTCCCGGATATAGTGAACGAAATGTTCGGTCCCGTGCCTTGCTATACCCGTATAATGTTATTTTTTGTGGATATAGTGAACCAAAAAAGCGATGAAGTTGGATATAATGAACTTTTTTCTGTCTTCGACTGATTTTTTTCTTCATTTTTTTGTAATAATTTCGAAATTTCTACTTCAAAATAAATACNTCATTGTATATATATATATATATATATATAGTAAATAAATAAATACAAAAAACACGAACAAAGTTAAGAAAAACAATAAGTTTTGTTTATTTCGCATATGCTGCAAGCAAATAGAACTCATAAAATAAGTTCAGAATGAACTTATTCTATTCATTAATTCATTTTGAACTTATTCACTCAATATGTATATATATATATATTGAAACTTTAAATTGAAAATATTAAGGCAAAAATTTGTAAATGCATATTAAGCCTTTTTAATTTTAAAATCAGCTAGATTCATTTCTTTTAAAGTTTTAAATATAAAACTTCTATCAGCTATAAAAGGATATAACAGAGCAAAATGTATTAACTGTTTATTTGTTTCAGAAGGTGGTTGACTTATGAATATAAGATGAAAATATGAATCCGAAAATACCAAAATATAAAATCCACTTCTAGACCTTTTAGGATGTTAAAAATGAATTTAGTATTTTGTTTTTTTAATATATAAAAACGGTTTAAAAATTCATGATTTCTGTAATCTATTAAAAATAAACAAAGTTAAGTTTCTGAGGCACATCTTTTATAAAAAGTATTTACTACTTATTAAATTATAACTTTAATAGAACAAAAGAAAAAAATTAAATTTAAAATTTTATATAACTGCAAAAATCAGGACTTTTTTTACAGTTTTAATGAATGAAAGTCCAAAATAGACAGCAATGCAAAACTTATTACCGAATGTGGATCAAAAATGCATTTTTCATTCAAAGTTATTAAATTGTTTCAAAAATATTATTTTTGGTTATAATGAAAATTAAAATGATGCTAACATGCAGTATAATGGCTATCTGTAGTTTTTCATAGCAGTAGACATAATTTTCAAGAGTATTTTTTGTATTAATAATAACAATAAAATAAAATGATTTATAATTGATATTCTGTAAGACACATTTTTGATGATTGGTGTATTTAATTGATATTTTATATGGAAACGATACAATGAGACTTCATACATATTTAATTGGATACAGATTAACAATTTGAAAAAGATCCAGGAATATAAATTCTATGATTTAAATTGAATAGAATTTTATAATTTAAGTAACAAAATAGTTTGTTTATACATAAAAAAAAAAAGGATTTATCAACATATTTCAAAACCAAAATGCTAAAATAAGCGGCATAGGCAGTAAAAGTATTTTTCTATAATACAAGAATGCATGGGAATATATTTAGGAATTTTAGTAATTCACAATCAGAAATTAAATGTATAGAAATAATGAAAAATCCATGGTAGTTAGCATCACTGAAAACGAAAGCCATATTTTTACATTTTAACCCAAAATTAGATTTAAATATTAATTGAAATTAAATTCTATTATTAATTAAAATTTAGAGCAATTTATTTTAACATTTAGATTAGTTATTCATTTTAAGCAAAAATTTTTTGTCTTATCTTTAAATTTTCAGATGCATTAATTTATAACACTATTTAGAGAGAATCTAGATAATCTTTTTAACTTTGACACACACAAGAAACAAATAAGGTAAATAAATTCTATTGCTTGTTTATACAATTAGCTTTAACGAGAAAAGTATTTTAAACCCTTAAAGATTTTTTACGAAAATTGTCCGCCAAAAAAATGAAAACTAACATATTTTAGTTCGCCAGTTGGAAACCCTTGATATAGACCATTCTAGGACCAATATTAAAAAATCTAGATGTATCCATATTGGTACCTCAGTGCATAGGACTTACATTGAGCCAATTTTGAGCCCCATTGTTATTAAGGATAATTATTAGGAACAGATATTATTAGGGACAAATGTTCAATACTTGTAGCTAATACATATACAGTTTTGAAAAAAATCTAACTCTAAGTAACTTTTAATCTAATAATTAGATTTTCATGTTTTTTAATCTTCTGCTTTCAGATTTTAACTTTTTGGTTTAAGCAGTATAGTACTTTAAATGAGCTAAAATACAATCCCTCAAAATATTAATTTGAACATTTACTGTGCAATTTTAAATAATTAAAAGCTAAAAATTAAGTGAAATAGTTCTAGAGATACGTAAAATTTAAAAAGTCTTGTTTTACGACTTTTTGAGATTTTTAGAAATTATTTAAAAGATTTTGTTGAAATTTGCAGGTTTTGTTTCCTATACTTACATGGCTTAAACTGATATAAGAATTAGAATAGTTTGCGATTCAAATATTTTTTCCAACTTTATTAAATAAAACCACAAAAAATGCATTTTAGTATGAAATTATTTATCTTATCAAAAGGAGTTTTATAATAATATGCTTTGATTCGTCAAATATTTCCAGAGATATGGCAAAATACACAAAATAAAAATAACATTAAAGGGTTAAAACTTTTGAGGGTTATATTTTCCAGATTGCACCTATCTCTCTTCATATTTTGAGGGTAAAAAATAATAATGATAATAAAACAAAATCATGATAAAAAAAATATTTCTAATGTAGTAACATAAAAGTAGTCTAACCTAATTGATTTAGAGTGCGTCCCTTGAAACAATAAATGTACATGAAAATCTGATCATTAGAATAAAAGTTTGAGTGTTTTTTCCACAGTGTATGAGCAGCATATACTTATGTTAGCTGTAATTAATATTCAAGGCTAGAAAGATAATTTTGAGTCACTGCAAGCTAAAATATGAAAAATTTCACGTTAAACATAGGTGTTATTTATCAAAATCTAAAACTAATTAATATTTTTCTTTTATATTCAAACTAAATTTTCGTTATCAATCAAAATTTTAAGCTCAAAGTTGTTCTGAAATATATTAGATTTTTCTACAATGTTTTTCGTTTATTTGAAGTACTTTAATGAATTAGGCAATTTTTTATAAGATTTCAAATTTATATCTATCTATATATATATATATAGGACAAAATTAACAGTCACCCCAGGGCGACTAAATATAACGCTTAAAAAACTGTCTGCAAGCGGCCATCCAATCACCCGTTTTTTCATTGAAAATGTATTTCTTTTAAAGAAATATGGAATTATTAAGAATATTTTGTAATATTATGAAAATTATTTCACGCTTTTTTCTTAAAATTTTTCTTTATTTTAAAAATGAACATTGTAATGTTTACTATAGTTTGAGATATGATTGAATAGAATGCCAACAGTTCATGAAACGTTTAAAATTTTCAATTTCTAAAAAAAAATTGCCGCTTGTTTTAGAAACAGGGTCCACTGTTGGCCAGTAGCAAAATTCTCTAATTTTGCCCTATACATACATATTTAATGATAGTCAAGCATGCAGCAGAGGATAGTAATTAAAAATATACAAAATCTATTTGGTCAAAGCATGCACTTTGGCCAAAGAGATCAGTTCATTTTGATATTAGTCATTATTTTTGTTTAGTAATTTTTATCTGAGCAATTTCAGAAAGCAAGCCCAGTAACAGCAAATATCAACAATCTGACGCAATATTGTTCATCATTTTTTTTATTTTCAAATTTCTTTATTTTATTCTTTTTTCTTTATTTTGATATTAGGGATTATTTTTGCTTAGTAATTTTTAACTGAGCAATTTCAGAAATCAAAACCCTGCTAGGGTAACAGCACATATCAACAATCTGAAGCAATATTATTCATCTTTTTTAAAAGAAACACTGAGCAACAATGCAGCAAGCAGTGGCATTTGCCCAAATGACGACATTTATGTATTTACATAAGCAATAAACTTTTGTCTAAAACTACAGCAGTTTTGCTTAAGCCTAGAAATGAATTATTGTTGAGTCATAGTGAACTACGAGTTTTTTATGTATGAAAAGAAGAAAGAATCACAGAGATCAAGTATCATAGCTTTTTGTACTTTTGAGTCATTGTTTTTTTTCTTTTATCTAATCAGAAATACTTGGTTAGTTAACAAAATATTGTAAGAAAAAGCAGAGATCCTTGTTGGTTAATAAATATTATCTAGTAATTCAAATCTCACTGCTGAGCAGACAACTGCTGACTTTGAAATGCATTTGGCTGTCTTACGCATATGCTACGTGATGTTAGGGTCATTTGCATAAAAATAAAGAGTTTCATTTATGCTTTTTCCAGAGTTGTATTTGTCATGCTTGGTTTGCAACCAGCTGCAAGTAAAAGGCATCCCGTGATAGAATCTGAAAAACAAAACGTGAACATAAGTTAATTTATATTCTTTCTTAATTCACAATCCTGAAAAAAATTTAGGTTTAGAAATCAGAATTACTTCATATTACTTCATATTCTTGCAAAATTTAACAATCCAAAAATTTAGCTACAGATATCTGCAATCTTTTTAAATCAGGGGTCTGTCCAGACATTTTGTGAAAGGTCCTGTTTTTGTAAAATTGTGAAAAAACTATTCATAATTTGTGAATATAGAATAAGCGTTAAGTCACATTCTTTCAACCAGGGTTTTGCAAATGGGGTCCTGTTGTTGCAAAAATTGCGAAAAACCTTTTCACGAAGTTCTTAAATTGTAAATAGATGCAAGATTCTGCTCAACAATTGCTGCTACTAAATTAGAGATGCAAAATACAAATATTTGGTATTTAGCCTATACTGCTCAACACAGAATATTAATTTCGAACGAATAATGGAAACAAAATCACTCAAATTTTTAATAATTTCAATTGACATATTTTAAATAACACGACTAAATGTATCACTTTTAATGTGTTAAGCATTAAGTAAACTTAAACAATTCTTAAATTTATAATATTTTATTGCTAGAAATTAATTTTTATTTGCATAATATTCTATTAATTAATTTTATGAGTAAATATAAATTGATCAATTATTTATTTACAAAAAAATATATGATTTAATATTAATAAGAATGCTCACACGATGTTTGTAAAAGTAGAAATATTTTCTAAAAATACTACATTTGTTATTTAAACTTAGGGAAACTTAGCTTGTCTCGAGCCGTCTTTCTCTCCCCCCCCCAGGAAGGGGTTTATTCGATTAACAAACCAATAATGAAGATAAACAAATTTGTGAAGGGTCCAATTAAAAGATAAATAATTTCATAAAGGGTCCATTTTTATGAAAAGATATTTAGTGAGGGGTCCGTTAACGGAACCAAATTTCTTCTAAACAGACCCCTGTAAATTGCTACAAATATTAGAAACGTACGAAAAAACGAAGATCGAGAATCTGAATGCTCTCTGAGAACCAGAATGCTGCTATGAAATACAGAAATAGAAAAAAAAATAGATACCGAAATTTCATAACAATATACTTTATTTGTACAGAACTCAGAAATCCAAAAGATTTAATTTCAAAAATCTGAAACCTCTTTATATCCTCACGAAATTCAGAAATAAAAAAAAACTAAGTTCAGAAGTCTAAATATAAGTCATATTTTTCCTAATCATATTCTAACAAAATTTCTAAATCTAAAAAAAATAATTAAATCTGAATACAAGTAGCTTTATATTCTAACAAAGCTATGAAGAAAAAAATGCACGTAATAAATGTCAATAAATAGAGACTGTTATCACAAAGGAAAGGAAAAGAATCTGCACACTATCGTTTAAATAACCAAGTCAGATGTCATCCATGAAAATTTTGCATTGTATTCATAATTGCAATTAAATGAATTATGGTTTCTGAAAATGGTTATAGAGTATAAGTTCAGAATTTTTACATTTAAATAGTGGAGAAAACCTATGACCCTTCTCAAAAACCATGTGCGATTTTTGAACCCCTCAAACCACATAGAAATAATGAAGAACTAAACTGAAAGTATTCAAAAGATGTTACCTTGGCTGCTGACAGATGGAGAAGATCCACTCTTTCCATGCCCCAAATAGGATGCAGGTACCCAACCACGCTTTGTGGAGTCAAGTACACATACATACCACCATCCTGCGCATCCCACTTTCTCAACTTCAACTGTTTCACCTTCCTTGAGGGATGCCTCACCCACGTCAACAGCTTCATAATCACCTAGCGCCACATAATGACCGCCCACCTGTCAACAGAATAAAAAATGTCAACAAGCATAATGTTTTCTTTTTTGATAATGATTTCCCTCAAAATATAAATTTTTGTAAGTAAATTTTTTAATTGCGTCATAAATCAAAACATATTTCCTAACACATAATTATAAATGTATTAAAATGCTTTTGTTTTTTTAAAGTAAATAAAACAAATAATGTGAAATTGTGTTAGATTCTTGATGCAGGACTTTTCATAGGAGATGTGCCAACGGTAAGTTTGATAATTCCTTCAGTTTTATTGCAATTAACTAAATATTTAACACACAGAATTATTTAGTGTTACGAAATGATGAATATCATGTACACTCTAATACATTTATAAAATTGTACCCAATAATCCATTTTAATTGTTAAATACAGGATCACTACATGTCTGTCCCATTGAATTCAAAAACAATTTTGTAAGGAAACAGTCGGGTAGTCCATGTCTCACCTGGCAGAATCAACAATGAATTCATTAAAAACATGATTTAGTGTCATTGGAAAATAGAAAAAATAATTAAAAAAACATTCACCCATTAAGCCACATTTAAAATACAAATGAACTAAATTTCGTCCTTCTTAAACAAAAGCCAGTCTCGTTCTATCCTAAAAAAAAATTATTTCATGTTTTTCATATCGGCCATGCATGTTATCTTGTGCTCTTTAATCCACTTTTTCAGCCTCACTAAATCTTTATTTTTAAAGTTCTGACAAATTATATAGATTTTTTTAAAGCAGGAATTTAAAAATCAGACTAACCTCTGTAGTAATCACAAAAACATCGCCATCATCATCTTCATCAGCAGATGAAAAATCATCAGCAGACGACCATCCATCGTCCGACACGCAATCCTCTTTGCGAGATGGCAGGGAGGCGACAGTCGCTCTTCGTCCGAGCTCTCCCGGCTGCCTCGTGGTCATGCTGTTGCTGCGGTAAACACTGTTATGCCAACTGAAACTGCTTCTGTTGCTTCTTGTTCTAATAAGAAAGAATGAAAGTAAAATAAGTAAGTTGCAAGGAGTTGTAACTGCAAGGCAAACACAAGTATTGGTTCGTGTGGCCTAAAAGTAAGAATTTCAATAGCGTTAAAATTACAACATTTAACACTATATCGAGATATTTTAGCAATTTAACTACTTTTTACTGGGTCAATATTTTTGTTTTTTGTTACCCAAATAAAATCTATCGACACTCGCAGTAATATTGCATTCAATAAATATTACTAGGTATAATATTCACAATTATTATTTTAAAGCTATGTTATGTTATGTTAATGATTGTGATAATATCGTGCTCAATGATTGTAATGAACAATAACTATCACACTATTGGCGCATTTGATATTTATTGCTATTGTTAATTATCACAATAGTGTTGTCTTAGATAGACCTATGCGCATTGATAAACTGTGCAAATCAGGATCTGGCATTATTCTTACAGGTTGGTGAACTTGACTTCACAATGCTTTTAATCGATAAACTTCCTAAAATTTGCAAAAAATGTAAGTATATGCCACAAGTGGCCACGAAAAAAAAATATTGAAATGACTGGGAATTTGTGAAGCTGTTTCTCAGACTTAAGACTTTCAGTTTTGTTCTTGATTTTCAAGCGTTCACTACAACCAATTTATTAATTATTTACTTTTTCAAATGAAGAACAGGGCTTTTGTTGACAAATTTTTACAGCAAAATTACACAAACAAATAATTTTAATCAAATATATTCTTTAAATATTTTTCATTTCATAAAAAAATAATATACTTTTTTAAAACTTGTTTAATACCTGTGAGGAATAGGTGGAGATTGACATATGCCGTTGATGTACCCAAGGTTTTGTATTTTATCTGAATGTTGTTTCAGATTTTGATCTAAAACATAGACAATACATTTTTATTTTGGAATGCGTAATGAAATAAAAGATATAAAATTAAGTTACTAAAGAGAGTCAGTCAAATAATGTGTAAGGATTTAATTATTTTGCTGACAATGGGGAGAATGCTTAAGTTAGACATTAAAAATAAATTTATTTTTAAAATTTTCTCAAAAATCATTTCAAAATGTAACAAAAAAGCTACATGTTTAAAAATCTCAAAATTTGGAATAAAAGTTAAAATTGGGGAAAGTTGAAATAAAATTGTTTAAAAGAGTTTCAGAGGTGAAGCATTCTGAGACGCAAAAGATTTTTTAAGAATATTCCACAAAAAATATTATAAAACGAATTAAAACATAAATTTCATTTATGCAAAGGTATACCTTTTACTTGAATTTAATCCTAAAATTAATTTACTTCAGTAAAACTCAAAGTAAAACCGAAAAACAGGGCGGGAAAGATTTGTGATATTCTTGTTTCTGCTGACAAGAGGGATGTAGGAATCCTGAATGGGCAAAAGATTATTTACAAAATATTTGAATGACCCATAAGTCGATGCTTTGATGCAAATTTAACGACCCTATCTTTAAATTTTAGAAAATTATTAAACTGATGCAAATTTACAACAGCTTTTTCTTTGAGAAACATTTTGTTTAAGTTAATAAAAAATTTAAAAAAAATCATAAGTAAAAATAAATCTAAGAAATATGTGTTTTCCCTGTGCCAGAATTTTTTCGAGCTATCTGCGACAAAACTCTGTAGCACTAATATCTTTCTGCAAGATACTTTCAATAATAACAAACATGCATGTTACTAATTTAAAATAACAAAAGTGCTGTGTTTACAAAAAAAAAAGAGCTATATCTATCTCCCATTTTGTTGGGAAGCACTGTGGGCCAGAACAGAAGACCATGATCTTTGGCCAAAAGTCAAAAATTAAATTTTCAACTAAAATATGTGTAGGCAGTTTTAATATAGCCCAAATTCATAATCATTCCAAACATTAAAATTTACTTTTTGGACAGACGAGACGAGATGAAAAATATGTTAAAAAATTTTTTTAAAAATTTAACTGTTAAATTTTTATTTCAGAAATATATATAGGAATTTCACCTTACTGTTACATTTTTATCAGAGTAATTAGTCTGAAATTATGGTACAATTTTTCAATTTGTTGGATTAGTTAATACTCTTGACAAACTTATAGTTCATATCTTATCATTTGACATTTTACAATGTTTGAATGACTTTCGAAACTTAGTTCCAAAAAGTTCCACGAGGTAATTAGCTAAACTTTTTTTTGTTGTCTTCTTTGATGTTTCTTCTTTCGAAAAAACCTGCCCCATTTTGCCCGTATTGCAAAGGTGGACTAAATATACCGAAAAACAAAAATTATGTTTTTTTTTTTCATGTTTTCGCGTTATTTTGTAATTAATTCGCGTTATTTTGTAATATTACTTCGGAAATATAATTTGCTTTTCATTTTTAATATAAAATTACGAAAATTATTATATTTTCATTGCTATATTTAATTATTTAAACGTACTATATTATTTTTTTTATTTTTGCTCGCCATATTTCAGCCGTCATTTTGTATTTTTGGGTATTTTTAGTGTATTTCAAAATTTCAACTATGAATTCAATTAACCTGCACATTAAAACCCCTAAACACAAATTTTGAAACAAATTTTATCGAAATACTAATTTTGGCCACGAAACCTTTGATGCTGGCCCACTGTGATATGGCAAAATAGAGAACCCTGTCACTACTGTTGTCTTCTTTGATGTTTCTTCTTTCGAAAAAACCTGCCCCATTTTGCCCGTATTGCATTGGATTAAATATACCGAAAAACAAATGCTTTCACGTCATTTTATAATATTACTTCGGAAATATAATTTGCTTTTCATTTTTAATATAAAATCATGAAAACTATTATATTTTCATTGCTATATTTAATTATTTAAACGTACTATGTTATTATTTTTATTTTTGCTTGCCATATTTCAGTCGCCATTTTTTTTTGTGGGTATTTTTAGTGTATTTCAAAATTTTAACTGTGAATTAAATTTACCTGCACATAAAAACCTTTAAATAAAAAAACAAATTTTGAAACAAATTTTATCGAAATACTAATTTTGGCCACGAAACCTTTGATGCTGGCCCACTATGATATGGCAAAATAGAGAGCCCTGTCACTACCAGGCTACGAAAAAGTTGTAACAGGAGCTTTGACTTAAATAAGTGAAGCTACAAATGGATATATCCTTCCCAGTGCTGCAAGACTTGAATGAAGATTATATTAAATCACTTGATTAATCCTGGAACACTGAGAAAAAGAAAAGTATCAAAGTTTCGCTGTCACTTCCAGGCTATTGAAAAGTGTGTCAAACTTGCTGGCCCACTGTGGGGAGGGGGAAAGCACAAATGAATTATTTCTTCGCATTTTGTAAATAATCATCACATTAAAAAAATAATAATAATTAAAAATCATGAAGTCCATAGTAGTAATTGCTGAAAAAAAAGATCGACAACGAAATCACGCTAATCGGACTTCTCAAGTGCGTGTTTCGTTTCGAGATTAGGTTGTTATAATAAATAATGTATAAAAAGTATTAGATTTAAAAACTATGGAGAAATCAATAGCAATAACTGCATAAAATTCAATAGAATCATTGCCTTGAAAAGTATATATTCAAATACACCATTCGAATTTTCCGTATTGTTTGAAATATATCGGGATATTTAAAATCTACATGAAAATCAATATCAACAACTGCCGACAATACAATCGGAACATTACATCGATTCACGATACTATTGGCATAAAATTGATCGCGTCAAAGAGTGATTACCTAAAGGCATGATTCAAATATTATGTGCAAACTTTTGAAGAAAAGTAATTATTTTCACTCTTCGAACGAAAAATCAGACTGCAAGAACTCTTAAACGTTCTGCGACAATGTCGCTGCGATTCTGCCACTGGGTGTGTTTTACATATGGAATACAGATAAAATAAAATGTATTTATTGATAACTAATAATGCTAAAAATTTTAAATTCTTCAAATGTTGCAACCCTGAGAGGAATGTAGAAGATAAAAGTAGCCGGGTAGTATAAAAGTAGCAGTACTGTATCGACTATACTGCATCAAAGGTAAGCTGCTTAGGTAATTTGATAAAACTGAGCTATATACAAAGTCAGACCGAAAAAATTTTCTCTGATGGATGCAACTCTGAAAAAAATTTTACAAAGTTTTTCCGTCACAAAATATTTTCTCATTGAATAATTAATTTGGGGGATAAACATGTTTTTTGTCAGATGAAAGACACCAGCTTAAAAGTTTTAAAACAATGTGGGTAGTAATTGATAATAATATTATAATCATATAGAGGGAGAGAATATAATTTTCATTTAAAAAAATTTTTCAGTAACACGAGTTCAGTAAACTGAAATGGAACAAGTAGGAAAAAGAAAAGATAATTTTATATCTATAATGTAAACATAAAATAAAAACAAAACGAAATTTAAAAATAAAATATTTGGATAAAGCAATCATTATTTGAAAGCAAGAAGTAATGTTACCTTTTAGATGTTCAAATTGAAGGAGTAAGACCTTTTTTATCTCTTTCACCCACACTTCTTTCACTTCAACAGATGGAGCCTGAAAAAATAGAAACTTCTTTTTCTCGGTATCGAATTTGAGACTTTTAATAACAAGCTGTGACACAAGTTCTTAAACAACTCAAAAAATTCATGCACGTTAAAAACTTGCATGATAAAAGTTTAATATTTTAGAATGAATACAAAAATAAGTAACTCTCAGGAAGAAAATAAAAAATTCTGGATTTTTAAAAAATAAATAAATACACAAACTGATTATAAATACACACAGAGTGTTTCATAATAACTGCTCTTAATATACATTCATAGAATTCTTGTCGAAAATGAAGCAAAAAAAAATGTACACACAAGGGGCACAAATTATAATTAAAAAAAAAAAAACTAAACTCAAACACTATTGCAATCTTTCTAATTCCCATTGAAAAGGGTGTTACAAAATCAAAACCTGTTTGATTGCCTTTAAAACTGTGTGAGTGTTTTTAATAACCGTTTTAATCACCTTAAAACTCTCTTCTGTTTTTTGAAGCAATTGAGTGTTTTCAGCCCCCTTTCTCAACATTGATGTGTCAGATAACGATAGCAATTTTTGTTCTTTCCTGGCTTATACTACTTAATGCATATTAAAATTTTTTGATTTTATTTTAAATAAGAGTTCGAAAAATATAAGTTAGGTGCTGTGATTGTAGACCACCTTGTATATTATATCACATTATTTAAAAATAAAATTTTTGTTTGTACTCATTTCACTATTTAATGGCAATAATTCTATTTTGAAAGGCATTTTTTGAGCTTTAAATACACAAAAAGGCATTAAAACCATCAGCTCAGGAAATTTTATAAAATAGACTGTCTACTAGAGATGCCAAAGGATATATGAAAACAACAATTAATGATGACACATATCACCAATATTCCCAATTACTTTACCAACTTGCCCAGCTTGTTTTCTCTCAACTTGCAACTAAGTAGTTTGACACTAAACAGTAAAACCAATATATAATAATGTAATAATCACTAAATAATAAACAATTGCTTGATTTTCCTAAAGAATTAAGACAAAAAATTATAAATTAAAATATTTTTAAAGTCAGTGATGAATTAAATTACTTTTCTTTTGTTATTAGGTTTGATTATGAAAACAAAGTAATTATGATTTTTATACAGTTATATTTGTCACTTCAATACTGTTATTGATTTAAAGCTTCACATAATTATTTTAATCCATCTTAGAAAAGCTAAAATCGATGTTTTCAATGTTTATACAATCTACAGCGGCCATCATTTTTTTAAAATTTTATTTATTTGATTTAAAAAGTATAATGAAAACTTGTCACAATAAATATATTTCAACTGGTAAAAAAATTAAGAAAAAATTATTTACTAGGTGCATACAATTTTAAAATATTTTTAAATTTTTATTTTTTTAGAACAGTATATTCTTGCTATCTCAATGTTGAAGGGATGCTAAAAACCTTTCGAGATAACAAGTTCAGAACTAAATTATGTTCTAAAAAGTAGAAAAATACATTCGAAAACATTACTCTAAAGAGTTGAGTCATCAAACATAAGAATAACTACTATTAAATATGAATGTAATGATAGTTGACTATAAGTCTAAATACAATAATGATCATTTCATTTTCAAAAGTGAGAGAGTGCATTAAATAGAAAATAATTAGTGTGCAATAATTTTACATTGTGCTTTCTCCAAAAAAAAAAAATCAATCTCTATTTCGAAAAAAATTCGACATAACAAAGTTTTGAGAAAAAACTGTTTGACATAAGAATTCAAATTAACATTAGGTGGATATATAATGCCAAGAGGAAAAAATTTTTCGGACATAACAAGGTTTTCGAGATATCGAGAGTATATGGGCATTTACATATTTTTAAATAGCAACACTATATCAAATGCATTCACATACGACTCAAGTGTTGCCAAGTTAGAAAGACAGATATAAAGTAATTAGAAGTTTTGAATAGAGTGCAGCAATAAATGTGGCTCACCTGAATGATGAATACCTGAGAACGACCATGAAGCCACAGCTCAAACTTTCGTTTATCTCCTCTGTAGCCTTTGATGTTTTCAGTCAAACCAATTTGAGAAGTCTGCACTCATACAAACAATTTAATTCAGTTATATACTAACTACAAAACTCATATTTAAATTTTTTACATTTCTAGAGACTTAAGTATAATTTTAAAACAAACTAAATTCTATTTAAAAATACTTTGCAAAAAGTTATGGGTATTATTAAATAACAGCATCATGTGAATAGAAATTTGTAACTAATATCATAAACAAAGTTGATATGAATTTTCTTTTATTTCTACATATATTTATAAAATTGAGTGGAGCTCAAAAATTTATACAAGTTGCCGTAATTGGACTGATGATTTTCAAAATTTTTTAAAGTTAATAATAAAAACAATAAAAAAAATTCTGGTAGCTAATTTAAGTGTCAGGATATACATTTTTTGTCAACTCATGATGTTGCAGTTAGTAAACTGATATATATATAATTTTCATTTTTTTTTTGAGGTATACTATTCACCTGTTGAAAAATTTTCCCACCTACATTCAGAAACATTAGAATGAAGAACAGGTGCCCTGTCACATGAATTTGCAGCAAGAATTATTTTTTTAACTGTTTTCCACGAATTTTTGAAAATCTTCAGCCTAATTTAGGACATCCTATATTATACCTGTGGTCAGTGCCGGATTACCCATTAGGCCATGACCTGGGCCCCCCAATGATTAGAGGCTCCCTTAAAATGGATTTTTTGAAAATAAATTTTAAAAAATTTAAAAAAAAAACAATCATTTTTAAAAAATAAAAAAAAATAAATTTCAAATATATATGTTATGGTTATAAAATGTTACGATTATTTTTTAGTTCCAATNGTGATCGGTGGAGTGCCCAAAATATTGGGTCGCGTGCCATAAATGGCACGCGTGCCATTGGTTCGCCATCCCTGTCCTATATTATACCTGTGGTCAGTGCCGGATTACCCATTAGGCCATGACCTGGTTCCCCCAATGATTAGGGGCTCCCTTAAAATGGATTTTTTGAAAATAAATTTTAAAAAATTTAAAAAAAAAAACAATCATTTTTAAAAAATAAAATTCAAATATATATGTTATGGTTATAAAATGTTACGATTATTTTTTAGTTCCAATTTAACAAAATAAAGTAAAATTCAATTTATTATTATTTATTTTAATTTTAAATGCTTTCTTAAATGAAAAGATATATAAATACCTTTATATTTGAATAAATAAAAAATATACGAGAAAAATAATTTAATCTAAGGGACCCAAAAATTTGAATGGCCTAGGGTACGCTTAATCCGGCACTGCCGACCTTTCCTACAATTAGATAAAAACATATTTAATTTCAACATAGGTAATTAAATCTTACTAAGTGAACCTCTTGTAAAAAATGTCATTAGATACTGAAATTTCGCAAAAATAATTCTTCACAAAAAGATAAGCCTACCTTGAGAGCATTTTTGAATGCGTAGCTCGGATTATCATCTCTACCATATTTTTTGGTGAAAAGGACTAATTGTTCATATAAAAAAATGTATCGGGATCGCGGTTTAAAGCGGAGTTCCCGCTTCTTTCGTTCCATCCAAACACTAAATGCACTTTGAAGAAGAAGTCGGCCATAGTCCGCCAAGCTGCCCTGCAACACATGTTTCATTAATGTACTATTAACTATTCACAAACATACAGTACAAAAGACCTGGACAATAAAATAAATCTATATTTAGAATGACAGTTTTATAGTAAATGCTCAGCTGATGGGAATTCAACTCAACAGAAAGCTCAAGTAACAGGAAATTAAAAAAAAATCAGTTTAAACATTCAAAAATCCATGATTTTTTCCCCTGAAAATTATAATAATATGGAAAATAGAGGTTTTCAGCAATTAATGCTATTTGTAAGTTTTGCCCACACAGAATCTGCAGACTACAGTGCCATATTTTTTTAAAAATGTATTTAAAAAAAATTTAAAGTTTGTAAAAAAAAGCAACAGTTGAAACATACAATTCGGGCAATTTAGAATTTTTTTTCTATTTTTAACTTTGCAGATGGTTTTTTAATAAATTTAGCATAAGTTCTCAAAAACTTATATTAATTGCGTTTTTATTTTTATTTTCAAGGAAGCATTAGAACATTTTTAATTCCAAAGAAAAGTACGTAATGTTAAAAAAGTTAATCTTTTCCACTTGTTGTTTGAACACATTTTTCTTTCACATTCTCATGTTACACAAACAATGAACTTCCATATATTGTATGGTGCACATACATTAGTTTTTGTCAAGAAAAAATAATTGGTCTCTATGGTTTTCAAAAGTTTAAATAATTTAATTGCAAAGATTATTCTCTAGCAATAATATTCATTTTAGCTACAAGGAAAATAATATAATTAAAGTCCAGGGTGTTTGAATTTAAGTTGCGAGTACATAATGAAATACAGTGTCAATTTTGGTAATGATAAGCATATATGATTTTTAAAAAAATGTCTCTTTTGTAAAGAAATGGAATTTAACTAATTATGGTTTTTCAGAACTCTAAGAAGAATTCAAACATTTAGGGAAGAATTTACTGAGTAATCTTATATGTTAAAATAGAAGAGATGTAAAAATTATTTAGAATAATAATATTAGTTAATTGGTTTTAAACTATGGCAGGTGATATTATGTTAGAATTAAAGGGTACTTTTAAGATAAGTAGTTTAGTAACTATTAAAAAATTATTGAAATTTAGATCAATATATCAATATCAATATTAACCCTATTTAGTGTACATAGTAAAATCTCACCAAATTTTGGTTTTACCTTCACACAGAAAGTTTTACTTAAAAGGAAGGAAAAAAACTATGAAATTTTATAACTTAAAAAAAAAGCTAAAAAGTTAATTTTCAAAAAAAAAATAAAATAAATTGTTTTATGAAAATAAATTAAATTATCAATTAAAACAAATAAATCAATTAAAGTAAATAAATCAATTAAAATAAATGAATCAATTAAAATAAATTAATGGCTAAATAAAAATTCAACTGCTTCAGAAAAGAGAAACTGGTCGCTTAAATGTTTTATGAATTTAACAGCATTCGGATTAAAATTTTCACATGAGACTAATATGGCTTGTAAAAATATGGTCAAAATGTAATGACCAACGAGAAATTAAGTTGCTAATCAGTTGTTGTTCACTTACATAAAAACCTGTAATAGCAATCTGGTGCATACTATCATTTACATATTTTAAAACAGCTAACATGGCATCTACAGCTTCTTGAAGGTCAGCCTGTCCAGTGCCTTCATCCAGGCACTTTAGAAGGTCCTACAACAAGGTCATCAGAAGTCAGAAGTTTTTTTACTTTTAATTAAGTGTAAATAATTAAAACTTTTGTCATACATCATACCTTCAGCAGAAGCTGATACTTTGTAATCCTCTGGACAGGTTTTAATAAATAAGCTCCAAGGGGCAGCTTGTGGCCTAAATTTTTTTGACACTCCTACAAAAAAATATTTTTTTCTTGTTTAAATATAAAAAGAGAATACAAAATAATACATTTATTTAGATGTATGTTTACTTCAGCAAAAAAAGAATCTGTGGAAAGGGTGAAGGGAGCGTTCAATCCTTTCATTGCCACCTCATTTTAGCGAAATTCAACGATTTTCTTTAAAAGGGTTTAATTTCTATAGAACTCTTTATTGATTCATACCACGGGGACGAGTTCGATAAAAGACCCCAAAACTGTAAATAGACATCTAAAAATGTTATGTGCAAAAGTATTTTTTAAATAATTGAAAAAATACTTGAAATATTAACAAGAAAAAAGTGAATGTAGGAAACCTTTATCCATAGAATGTTATCAACGTTTTTAATAAAAATATTAATGCAAAATTTTACTTATTGATTCAAATTATGTGAATTATGACTCTCTATGTGTGGTTTTTAAATCTCGCGAATACGAATCTTGACATTTAATTTTAAAATCGTGTAAACGCGAAATTCAATGCGTAATTTTAAAATCACTATAATACGAATCTCGATGTTCGATTTTAACAACGTGTGCATACGAATCTCGGAGTTTGATTTTAACACAAAGTGAATACGAATCTCAATGCTCGATTTCAAATTCGAAACAAAACAAAATAATAGCAGAGCGTATATTTAACAAAAGGTCATGAAATCAACAGCTTGAGTAAGCCTACCCAACTACTGTGCTATTGTATAATAATACAGTGTAGAGAATGGCGTAAAGACCCTATTAAATAACAATCAAACTTAAATATAAAAAAAAACAAAACAAATATGATGATTTAATAATTGTTAGAAATTATTAGCTTCCCAATAAGCATTCCAGACAGAGTCTTTGCCTGCCACACAAGTTATACACATTTGTTTATTGTGAATGATTAGTGTCCTTTGTTGGTCAGGCAGATATATCATAACAAATACAATTTATATAACCTTTTATAAACTTCATAGAATAGTGTTTAGAATGTTTCATAGTGTTCATACTTTGAAAAAGGGGTTATCATCTCCACACTGTCTTCTTAAGGCTTCAGACTTGGGCTTGTTGAGACAGTAGGTAGAATACAATTTGTGGAAGGCATCCCGCTAATAACAAATAAATTGAAACAAAATAATAATTAATAATTTAGTGTAGAACAAATACACTGCCTCTAAATTCTGCTTTTATTTTATTTATCATCTGGACAATCACCCTATTGCATCATGGTGAGTGGATGTTTTCACGATTTAGTCTCTGAGAAATTTCACGATGACTATACTACATTTTGATGGGTCAGGGGTCTGTTAGGAAGAAATTTGGATCCGTTAACGGACCCTTCACAAAATATTTTAACTTAAAAACGGACTCTTCACAAAATAATTTATCTTTTAATCAGACCTTTGTTTATCTTCATTATTGTTTTGTTAATCGAATAAACCCTTCCCAGGAAAGGGGGGGGGGGAGAGAAAGACAGACGTAAACGAACTAAGTTTTGTCTTCGGCAGACGCTTCTTCCCTTATTCGTCCGAAATGCATATTCTGCTGCAGCAGTATAGGGTAAATACCAAATATTTGTGTGTTGCATCTCCAATTTAGTAGCAGCAATTGCTCTTTATTTTTTAAAATGTCATTTTTTTTAATTATAATCTTACAGTGTTGAGCATAATCTTGTGTGTCTTTGCAATTTAAAAACTCCTTGAAAAAGTTTTTTGCAATAACAGGATCCTATTTGCACAAATTCACAAAAGCCGGACTCTGGTTGAAAGAATGTGACTTAACGTTAATTTTATATTCACAAATTACGAGTTATTTTTTCACAATTTTACAAAAACGAACCTTTTACAAAATGTCTTGACAGACCTCTGTAGGTAAATACATGAATTTGTTTTTAAAAAGTGAATGAAAATTATTCTTACCCTGTTTACAAAACAATGCCCAACTAACTCTGGAGTACTACTACAGGCTTGGAGGTCTTTAAGGAAGACACTAGAAAATTACACAAAAATTATTAAGAAATTCAAAACTTTTTGAATTACAAAGTATCAATTATTAAGCAAAACGAAGATAATTAATATAATTGCTAATAAATACTTATTCGAGATTTATCTATTCTCCATACAACTTATCTTTGGAGTCCCCTAATGCTATCTAATGGAAATGTGGCGTTAACTACCACTACGATTATTAAACATAAATTTACTAGTATATGAGGCATTCTATTTAGGGGCATCTTTAGATCGATGAAGGTTGACATGGTTGATAACACTATCCCCGCACGGGCGACCTGCGGATGTGACATTAAAAGCAACATTCACTTCGATGGATGGTCCTCATCGAGCCGTGGACTTACTACGTGTGACTGCATCATTGTCCTCCTCACGCTGTTGCTCCTCAGTCTTAAGTACACACAATGGAATTTTGCGCATACTCGACTCGACTTTGCGCATACTTATATACTAGTGAATAGGAATTATATTTTTGTAGTGGTAGATACACTACAAACTTAATATAGCTCTCCTGATCTTTCACAAATACGGCAACTAGTAGTATTTGTTCATCGAATTTTATCCTTGATAAAATTCTGGTGGGGGAGCAATGTAACTATAACTATGATTAATAAACATCAATTCACTAGTAAATAAGACGAGTTAACCAATTCTGTCTTGAGGTACTTTTTGATAGATGAAGGTTAGCATTGTTGATATCGCACAAAAGTTTCAATTGGAATCCTCACATGGACGAAAAGAATTTTTAGAATAGTAAGAAATATAGTCCTATATAAGTTTGTGATAGTTTTTAGCACGTAAGTTAAAAAAAGATTCCTTAGTGAAACTAGAATGTATTTATAATTACAAGACAGTATATGATTACGAGTGCATTACAAGATAATATGCGACTAATGAATACTTACTCAAAATGTATGAATTGATTTGGCACTTAACAGAGTTTTCAATAAAAAATTTTAGTATAGAGAAAAATAAATTTTAAAATAAGAATAAATTCTATTCAAATAAAGTTCCAACGAATTTTCAGCATGTTTATAATATATTTTATAAATAATTCTGTTATTACAATAGATAACTATGCTGCAAATGAATTTAAAAGAAAATTATGTTAATATTGAATACTTATTCAAATTCATGAATTTATAAAGTAACATATTTCTCAGAGTACTTTACTCTTGCCAAAATGGAATTTTCAGTTAAAATTAAATTTTGAAAAAATTATTTTCAAAATAAAAACGAACTCAGTTTATGTAAAGTGTGTAAGAATTTTTAAGACGTTCATATTTTTGAAAAATGTCTGTTGAACATATTCCTAAAGTGTCTGCTTGTGCAAAAGTTCTATGGATTCATAATTTTTAAAGTAAAGAGAAGAGGAGAAGCAATTGTACAATTTTAATCATATTATTATAATTTTAATATGCTATTATATCATTTCAAACAATATGCCTAAAAAAAATCTTAAAAATTTAACTGATCAAATAAAATATCTAACGCCCAATTATCTAAACAAACGAACAACTGGACACATTCTCAGAGTGAGGCCATCAAACCTAGGCTCTGGATGGTATGAGGATGAGAGGGTGAGCAAAACTAAACTTGCGTCAAATGATCCTAAAAGAAATAAACGCTTTCGAGAGAAGCAGCACCAGAAGATGTGGCATATTCTGCCTATGGCTTCATGTGCTACTAGAGCGTAAGAAGAATTAGGTCAATTATAAGTTGCCGAAGGAAAAATTTACTTAAAAAAAATATTAATCACACATTTTTTGCATATACCACCTTTTTTTTACATAGATAAAATGACCAAAAAAATGCGACACGAAAATTAAAAATATTGATCTGCTAAAAATCAAAATTTATTAATAATTAAAATTTTGTTTAAAAGAATACAAAATTATAAACTTTTCTTGGTTTGCTGCATTTAAGTTTTAAACACATTTAAAAAAAAATTTTTTTTTTTTGTTGCCATCAGTGGAAATTGCATATTTTGTTATTTTTTTCAGAAAAAATAGAAAGAATTTTAATTTCTTTAAACGTCTAGGTTCCCTTCAACATCTTTGTTTATAAGATGTGCAATCATTGTAGTTATATGTAAAAACATCTTGTTAATATGCTAGTTGCAACAAAATTAACAAATACTTGGATTTGAAAAATAATGTACAATACTTGAAAAAAAATATTTTAACTTACGAATGTGTGAAGTTAATACGAAGCAATAAACGAGAAGTAATTTTACTTTTTAACAATCTATAAGGATAACCTTATATTGTAAAACAGCCTGAATTACAAATGGTTTTTATCTTTTTACATTAAAAAAAAATCAATACAAATGTTATGATTTATATCTCGCAACATCTGATCATTTCCTCTCTTACTTATTTATCCATTTTATTCCTATTCTCTTGAAACAGAAAATGATGATCTAGAGAGAGAGAGAGAGAGATTTTTTTTGACAGCGGATGAATAATCACTATTTAGAGCAAAAGAAGTGAAAAAAAAAATCTAGAAAAAGCACTTTAAATTGCAATGCATAAAGAACAAATTAAAATTTTCAAAAAAAAAACAAAAAAACTCATAAATAAACACAGACTTTTCAGCACGTCCAATTTGAATTCTATAGTTGTATTTTTGCAACCTGAAGAGTGGCTCGCATGGTGTTTCCCCCAGAAGTTTAACAGTTAACTTCTAATTAATGAGTGAATGTTAAATTTTTCTTCCACTGTACTTTGAATAAATTTTTTAAATGCCTTCGTAACTTGACGCGTCTGAGTATTACCATTTTTGCACAGCAAAACAAAATCAACATAAGTTAAACACACTTAAAACTTTTTAATATAGAGAGATTTTAAAGAAAATGAAAATAAATCTTTTTTCCTGAGACGTGAAGAGAAATGAAGAGAAAGATTCTCACTTGCTGTGGAATGAATATATATCCTCCATGTTTCCAAACAGGATGTCAGCCTTGCCGTAGAGGGAAGAAGGCACTTGCGCTGCTGCATTACTCATCTCATTCTTGTAACCCTAGAAACACATTATTATAAGATAATGCACAATTCTATAGTTCACAAAGATTTTAATATTTGTGACCAACATAAACAAGTCTTTTGTTTTCCATTCAGAGCAGGCAAAATTACAAATTTCAACATATAGGTATATAAAGTTTTAACTGTGCTACCATTCGTTTATTAAAAGTTTCAACCTAAACTACCTAAAATAGAAATACAAACTCTTTAGTTTTCTGCCCAGTGGCACCGTAAATGGTTGCAGTTTGCAGCATATAACATTATTACTTTAATCAGACAAGTTTTATATGACTTCTGCTTCAGCCATATAGATTGGGCTTTATAACGATTTAAGTATTTTGAAAAATATCATTTCCAGCATTTTCCTCACTTGCGTATTCAATGATATCTACGCAATAATTATTTGTAATAAATTTTCTACCCTCATTGTTTTCCTTTTTCTCCTGAGATTTAGCTAGCTTTAACTACCACTTTAGAGTTTTTGTTTTTAAATATGAACAAGTATATTTACTTAGAGGCCAGGATAGCCTGGTCGGTAGGGTGCTGGGCCCATGTCCAAGAGCTCGTGGGTTCGATCCCTGCCGGCCGAAGACTCCCCGTGTAGTAAACGGTGACTGATGCACGTTAAATCTGTCAAGTCGCAAAGTCCTCCATGTTCCCATAACAAATCAATACCTTTGGGGACACTGATCCAGGAGTTTCCTTGTCTTCTGGATTGGTTCAAAATTACAAGGCTACGGAGTTAACATTAGTAGTCGTAAACCCAAAATATTGGATCGGCTGTTCATCGACGGATATAAAATAAGATAAATGTATATTTACTTGAACCGTGATGGCTCAAGTGATACAGCATTCGACTTCCAATGGGGAATTCGAATCCCAGCGCTGGCTGGTCGATACAAATTCCACATTCAGCTTGCACTGACCACAGTGCTGATGTAAAATATCCTCAGCGGTAGATGGATCATGTGTTAGAGTGCCCCTGCCATCAGTTTAACCGTGGAAGGTTTTACTCGCCATGTAACGCAAATGTGGGTTAGTTCCATCAAAAAGTCCTCCACGAAGGCAAATTTCTCCCAAAACTTGATTTAGAAGTTCCCTTGTCTTCTGCATGGGGTTAAAAATTTACAAGGCTACGGAATAGAACATTAGTAGTCGCAAACTCTGAAAACTGGGTGGGCTGTTCAATGACTATTATAAAATAAATAAAAATTATATTTACTTGCAAATTTTTTTAAAGTTAATTCACATTATAAACGCTTATAAAAAAGGGTAGTTATGGATAATTTAGTTTTTCTAAATGAAATGGAAGAAATAAAATTATTTTACAATCACCAGTATTTTATGTTTTCTGGATAAGCACACCTGCCCTTCAATCGTTTTTACTAATGTCAAATTTAAGAGAATGTTTCCCCCTCCCCCTTACGTAATTTTCTCATATAATATGAGTGAACAGATTTTCTATATGAGAAAGACTGTAGAACAAAATGTGGATTTTCTTTTTATTTAGAACCACCAGAATTATTGTATTCTGCAAAAAGTATTAGTGACAATAATGGTTTTTTTTAAAAATACTATACAAAAAAATTTTTTAATTCATCATGTGTAAGTTTATAGTTGAAGTCACACATATTTACAGAATGTGCATATATCAATCAAAATCTACTTCACTACAACATTCAAAAATGATACTTGCCTGAATAATGCTGTTCAGTTCAGATACATAAGCTTTTTCAGTTTCTATGAGCTCTGTCATTACATGACTGGAGCATATAGAAAAAGAAACAACATAGTCATTACTTTAAACATTACAATATATTAACTAAAAACTAATTAGGCGAACATAGTTGTTCAAGATAGAATAGTCATCCATTTAAAAACGTTTGAAATGTTGTCTATGAAAATATACGAAAATTTTCACATAATCGTTGAGGAAATAATTAGTATAATTATCATTTACGCAATTACCAAAGTTACAATATCTAATAAGTTCTGGAATGAAAATATTGAATATTAATTATTATAATTAATTATTTCATAGAATTCCTTTCTTTTGTCTATTAGTACAAGAATGAACATTTCAACATGAATCTCCTCCAGCCCAAAAGTGGTGCAAGACTATCTTTCCTTATTAAGACAGAATTTCCAAGTAACGTGAAATGATATCTTTAAAGATATCATTCTAATATTGCAAGTTCTGCTTTCAATGATATTGTACTGGTATTTATGTTTCTTTGGACCAAAGCAAATGACCCCCCTCCCCAGTACCAAAAGCCATAATATATTCACTAGAAAATATTTTACCTTAAAAAAAAAAATCAAACCTATTGCAGTACTTTTTGGATTGCAATTATTTTACAAAAACAGTGCATCAATGTTTCAAAATTTTGAAATTCAAAATTTCAAAAACTATTTTAAGTATGTTACATGCAATTCATTTTGCATTTTCTTCCATCATTATTTTTAACATCAAAAGGTTTTCTAGAAACAATACTTTTGCATTTTGAAAGAAATAAGAAAAGTTAAGATAATTTATTCAAGTCTGTTTCAAAAAAGATATCGCAATGAAAATTTTTAAGACATACGACCCTGTGTCAGCATCCTGATACAGATATCCCACTCTGTAATAGATCCTTCTCATCTTAATTATTAATTAATTTTTTATGTTTCTTAATTTCAAAAACGTTAATATTTGTTTGTTTTTTTACAGCGGTCGGCTCGTACACCCGACGCACCAGAAATTGGCTAGCTCGTCATCAAAAATAGGGAGTCGACTTACACATCAGAATGTAGAGTAAGTATTTTTTCGTCTCCCTTTGAGCATGATCAAAGATAAAACAAGAGGGTTTGTTGTTCAGACATAGAACAGGGGCATAAAATTATGTTAGTAAGAATGAATAAATCCTTATTTGTTAGTACAGTCATAAACATTTTGTGTGGTACATCACTCATCAAAATACATTACCCATTAATAAAGCACAATTCTATGAGATTTGAGGGGGAAAAAACACTTTAGTTATGACATTGAGTGATACATCTGTATCTCTATTTAAAGAGCCTATTTTAAACTATGACGTGTGATAGCAGATAGTGGGAAGTCATTCAGCTTAATGTTATTAATTAATTAACTAGTATTATTTATTAAATTGGATTTGTAAATATGATATTAAATTTATTTCAGATAACATATTCTTGAATAGATTCACAATGACAAAAATTAAAATGCTTTTTTAAGAGAAATGAATTATGTATTACAGTGAAACCTCTCAGGAGCGACCACTCTCTGTGTTCCACATTAAAATCTTCCGTCTTAGGGGGTTACATCCATTGACTTCAAAATGTTACCAAAAGCACATAATTTTTCGCAAACGAATTTTCTTTTAGACAGCGTCATTTCTTTGGGTGAGGAAATACCACTTGTGTTGGCGTCACAATAATCAAATGGATGAATAAAATTCAGCGTCAATAAAAATGATCCCTACTGGTGTAATTATGAGTAAAAACGAATTTACCAATTATGAATCATAGAACTATTTTTAAATAAATAAACAATTACTTTTTTATTTAAGTTTGCATTTAGTTTTATATCACAAAAATTAACTTACCTTAAAATATGAGCAGAGGTTTGGTTGTTTGAGACACTTAGTTTTTCCTAAAATAACTTTTTTTTAATCTAATTTAATTTTCAACTTCAAAAATAAATCATTTATATCATCAACTTTAGTGCACTCTGACTGTAACATGAGATTTTTTATCTCTTTTTGAGATCTCCAAAAAAAAGCCGCTCGTAAATATTTTGAATACGTTTTAATATACTTATTTGTTTTGTTAATATTTTTTGCTTTCATATTTTTTTGTGTTTTCTTATTAGACCTTCACTGCATTGGGTGGGGAAATTTTCCCATTAGCTGGAACAGGTTCTTATGGTCTCTCCAACAGGTTTTCTTCAACGCAAAATCTACGGAAAAAGTTCTGTGCCTCCCAAAATGGGTCGTAAATAGAGGAGGTCACTATACAGAGGTGGTCTTTCCTGGTGGTTTCATCGTATAAAGAAAGTTTTTCCCTAAAATTTACTTTCCATTTGAAGCTTATTTCACTGCTTAGCATTATTTATTTAGATTAAGAAAGTAATAAACTGAGTTGCAATTTAGTAAGGTTTTCTTAGGTACATATTTTCATTTTAGGAAATTTTCTTAACTAAACAAAACTTAAGAAAATGCTTGAATTAAACAAAAGAAATTAGCAAAATTTAGTAAAAATACTGGCTAATTTTATTTAAATAGAAATAAGTTTGTAGCTCTCACCTTCTTTTGTTGTGCAGCATCTCTTGACACGTCATTGGAGAAGGGGATCTAGATTCACTACTACCGTCAGGGATTTGTAGCAAGTTATTTGGCTCTGATTGCAGTTGATCACCAAAGCGCACTTCAATTTTAACCTGTAACGATTTCAATTTTAACTTAGTGAAATGTTAAATAAATTTTCTTTTGGAAAACAACAAGTAAAGTTACAAAAAAGCAAATTTTAAATTTTACAAATAAGTGACTAAAATAAACGATCAATAACTTTTTAATATAAAATAATCAACTAGATTATTCAATGATAACAAGGCCTTTTATTTTATATTACTAAACAGAATTATTAAGGGCAAGTGGCATGCAAACAGGAGGGCCATCCAATCAAAGGGGGGAATTCAATGAAGACTACTAAAACTTTGAATCTTTTACTCTTATTTTTATAACAAAGTTAATTTTTGAAACATATAAGTAATTGGTTCTTAAAAAAATATTTTTAGAAAATTAAGATTAAATTTTCAAATAAGTTGAATCATGTAATTTTACAAAAGAGAAAAAAAAAGATAATCTATAAAAATTAAATTTTTCTTAAGAAAAATAAATGATGAATGTTTTGATTAAATTAATAATTTTTTTTGCCATAAAATTTTTTCTGCTGAAATTTTGATTAGCATGAAAAATTTATGGAGATGCTTTTGGATAATAGTTTGCAAACAGATTTTTTATTCCTCTCCAGTTTCTGTACTCTTCTTATCAAGAGCATCAAATTTAGCAATTTATATCAAGCATATAAAGAATATATTAATTTGATTCAACAGGTTCAACTCAATTAATAATCAAAAAATGCTATTGCAGTGTATGCTGAAATATTCTAACATGTTCAAAGGATTGAATAAAAATATCAATACTTTTTTGTTTGTCACTTTTTTTACTCACAATGTTTTTTATTTAACTAATACTGCAAAAAAAAAAAAAAATATTGATTAATTTTAGAGAAATTTTTCTGCCTATTTCCCAATTTTGGATTGTTAGAAGGTAATTCTTCCAGTGTAAGTATTCTCAATCAAGTACTAACGTAACTATATGTTTACAAAAGTTTTTTTACACTCACAGTGCAGCAATATCTTGCTACTATGACCATTTTTGCTTAAATTACAAGAGTTATTCCTCTCTTTTATTATAACATAAAATGCAGTATAGACATTACTTGCAACAAAAGGAAGGTTGCAAGATTATTTAAGATGTGGTTTTAATTTATTTTCATTTGAAATAAGGTATGCTTTTCCCGATTTCTGATTAGGGAGTACTTTTGTCTTCTGAGTATGATTCTCAACTAAAAGGCAACCTAGCTTTTGTGTTGATATTATTTTTCTTTTGTAAGGAAATTGAAATTGTTAATTTATATATATATAAGTACACAAAGAGTCATTACATTATGACCACCCTCCATCTATAACAATGGGCTCGCCCAGGTTTTCAAGGTTTCTTGCCCAGGAACAATGTTTTCATGGGGCACATTAGAACCCATAATCCTCATAGAACGATCCCTGACGTCTGTAAGCTACTTGAACATAGTTGCAGACCAGGTTCACCCATTCATGGCAACAGTTTTTCCTGCGGGGGATGGTGTTTACCAACAGGATAATGCACCATGTCATAAGGGTCGAATCGTCATGGATTGGTTCGAGGAACATTCCAGTGACTTTCAAGTCATGTCTTGGCCCCCAAATTCACCTGACCTTAATCCAATAGAGCATTTGTGGTCCTACTTGGAAAACCAAATTCGTGCTGCCACGCTACCCCCTCGCAATGTGAGGGAATTGCAGGACCAGTTGGTGAGCGCTTGGTACCAGATACCTCAGACTACCTATCAGCACCTTGTGGAATCAATGCCACGGCGGGTGCTAGCAGTTTTGAGGGCTAAAGGTGGTCCTACATGTTATTAGCAGGGTGGTCATAATGCAATGGTTCTTCGGTGTGTATGTGTATATATGATAAAAATAAAGTTCTCATATTGTAAACTATTTTTATTGGCTGTAAAAATCACATGGTAGGATCCAGTTTTCTCACATTAATATCTATATACTTATGGTAAGCATAAAATTAATAAAAGTCATAAAGGTATTGTCCTACAAAATATTTTTGTATCCCTAATTTAAAGATATTGAACTACACTATTTATTTTTCTTATTCTACTCGGCTGATATTAAATTTTTGATTGGTAAAGAGTTTAAAACTGAAAGTGTTGTTTCTTTATTATATTGTAATTTTATGAAATCACCTTAATACTCTACATTTTAAGATAAACTTATTTTAATCGGTGTCTCATACAACTTGCGTTTTTTTTATTTTCATTTCATTAAATTATTGTTTGTGAGATGATTGGCTGCATTCACAATCTTATGACTTTTATGTTTGGTAACATTAAATGATGGTTGTGAGCTCAACAAATTTGTAATAGCAATAAATCTTTAATTTTAAATGTCGTTTTGAAAAAATGATTACTGAGCAAAATTATTTATGTTCACTAATAGATCAATATCATAATTATTATAATTATCAAAATTATATAATATTATTACATAATATAATTATGTAATAATTATTATATTTATAATTATCATAATTATTATCAATTAATATTATAATTATTGATAGGTAGGTGGATAAAAGGACGATAAAATAATTTACTGCAGAGCAACCAAAAAATATTTGTGCAGCAATTATTGGGAGTAGGCGAGTGATAGTATACATAACAGAATCTTCCACTATAATATGTAAATTTAATTATGCAAATCCACTTTAATATGTAAATATAATTGCATAGCAATTATTGCGAGTTTGCGAGGGATAGCATCCTCAAGTATACATTACAAAATCTTCCACTGTAATATGTATAACAGTTGGTCACAATTTTCACTAGTTTCGCTATAATGTGCATAACAGCAGACAATGTGAGGTTAGTTTACCTTAGGCACATTTTTTGTCTTCCTCACAATTTTTCTCCTGCCTTCAGGAGATTTTCCAGAAGAAAAGAGAGAGGATTCTTGAGCATTGCCTTTGTTTCTAGAAACTATTCTTTGTAAGCTACACTTTCTTTTCTCACACATCATCTGAACATCTTCTATCCTTTTCAGAACCTAAAAAAAGTTTTAAATAAAGGTGTAAGACACACAAACTAGTGAATTGGGACAAAATACAATAAACTCAATTGTAGAGAAAGATGGGTAGTAATTACTTAATAAATAAATTTGGAAGATAAAATTATATACTGAGTATGAGACACGAAATTTGGAAGACAATTTCTGCAGATAAGTAAGTTACAAGAACTGCTATCTTTCGAAAAACAATAAAGTTTTTAACAACTGATTCATATGTTTAAAAATAATTCTGTTAGTGTTCTTAGAGATTACTCAATATAAGATATAATATGTGAAAAACTGCAGAGAGGAAGCAAAAAATAATTCTGTCAGTGTTCTTAGATATTACTCAATATAAAATATAATATGCTAAAAACTGTAGAGAGGAAGTAAAAAATAATTCTGTTAGTGTTCTTAGAGATTACTCAATATAAGATATTCTAAAAAGTGTAGAGAGGAAGCAAAAAATAAGTTATCCACCAGGACATGTAACTCTCAAGCATGGAAAAAATACATATGAAAAGAACACACCAGCAGTTATTTTTATGTAAGTAAAATTGTAAGAACTTTAAATATATATAAAAAAATCTTTTTTTTTTTTACTAATAGTTGAAGTGTGAATTTACTTTGTTGCTTTTTCTTGAAGCAAGTATATGATCAGACCTAATTTAAAGCCTTTTTTTGCTTTGAAATTCTTTATTTTGTCCAGCAATAGATATAAAAATAAAGAAGGTAAATATTAATAGAGTTATAAAGCAAAATGTGAACATGGGTAGAGGGAAAAAGATTTTAAATAGGGACTTGCTTATGGTAAAATGAAATCCAAAAACATGCAAGTCCTGGGTTTTAAAGAACCCAAGTTTCAAAGTTGTGCCGAATCACCGATTTTCAAGGAAAAATAACGATTTTCATATTAATTTGAAATAACAGCTTTCATATTAATTTGAGTACCTGCATTTTTAAATATGTTTTTCACTGCATATTCTGTTAAGTCATCATAAATTTAAATGTATACCTTAAATCCAGAAAATTCTAAAATCTAAAAATCAACAGCTACAAACATTTCAGACAGGGCCAGATTAAGCGCAAGCGGGGCCCTAGGCCATTCAAATTTTTGGGGCCCTTAGAATAAATTTTTTTAATCATATATTTTCTATTTATTTAAATATAAAAGTATTTATATATCTTTTCATATAAGAAAGCAAATTTAAAATTAAAATAAATAATAATAAATTAAATTTTACTTTATTTTGTTAAATTAGAACTAAAAAAAAATCNAAATCTAAAAATCAACAGCTACAAACATTTCAGACAGGGCCGGATTAAGCGCAAGCGGGGCCCTAGGCCATTCAAATTTTTAGGGCCCTTAGAATAAATTTTTTTTTACATATATTTTCTATTTATTTAAATATAAAAGTATTTATATATCTTTTCATGTAAGAAAGCAAATTTAAAATTGAAATAAATAATAATAAATTAAATTTTATTTTATTTTGTTAAATTAGAACTAAAAAATTATCGTATTTTATTAATATATATTTGAAATTTATCTTCTTTAAAAAAATGCATTGTTTTTCTTAATTTTTTAAAATTTATTTTCAAATTTTTTTTTAAGGGGGCCCTTAATCATTGGGGCCCCAGGCCATGGCCCAGTCTGGCCTGATACGTAATCCGACCCTGGTTCCAGATTCGGGAAACTCTACTGTAGTAAATAATTATGAAACATAATAAATAAAACAAGAGTTACCTGTTGCACAAGAGCTCTAGATTCAGGTGTGATCACCCCCTTGAAGAGTGAGTGAATTTCTTTGGGATCATTGAGATTGAACTCATTGGAACTCTCCAAAAAATACTCAATCTCTTTTAGAGCAGATTGAGCAAACACAGGAGAGGAATATTTTTCAATCTGCTGCCCAGCCAGCAGGTTCACACCCCTTGTGCACCACTTGTTTGCCTGCAATTAAAAAATGACTTTTGATTAGCACTTCTGTGTTTACATTCACTTTCAATACTTTTTAAAACATTTCTACATTTTTTTGAACAATAATTAAATACAAGAAAGACAATAAAATTTACGAAATTTTTTTTTCAAAAATGTTTACAAAATTGAATATAAAATATCAGATTGGAAAAACTATTTTTATCAAGTTTAACACAAAAATTCAATTTATAAAATTTTGATTACGAATTTTAACAAATACATTTTTTTAATGCAGTTAACATAAAAATAAAAAAAGCTTCGAGATTTGTTTTGACAACACAAGAAACTGGCTGATTAAAATTTTTAACATGAATTTTTTTTTTTAAAATTTAAATTAAAACTGATATAAATAAGAAATATGCAACACATTTAGCATTGCTATACAAATCAGTTCAACAAACCAACACAAAAACCGCCATTTTCATACTTTTTAATTTTTTTACATGTCTAACTTAGTGTCAACAATCACACACGCACACGCACACACAGATATATATATATATATAACATTTCATAATGCAAAAAAAAACATATTTTCTTTAATTTTAAGCAAAAGAACTCACTTTTTCTATTCTTGCTTGGAGGTCTCGACTTTTTCTTAGAATCTCTATACGGAAAGCTACTTGTTGGCGAATGTCAGCTGCAATTCTCTCGAGCTCAATGCATTTAGGCGCTAGAGAGTCTACAGCGTAATGATTGGCAACTATAAGTTTTTCTCCCTCCTGCTGAAGATGATCTGCCTTGTCTAGATCAGCCTATTATAAAACAATTAAATTCAAAATCAACATTTAAAAATTAGTTGCCCACAGTAAAAGCAAAACAAATCTCAAGATTTTAGGATACAATAAGAATTTTATGCTAGTTATCGAGTCTCACATAAAATACTTTCCTCCATAGGCAATTCTAGTGATTTTTATAAGCACCCGTTCATCGTACGGGGTAAAACTAAAAGTAAATAATCTATAAATCAATATTTTTCATCACTACACAGTCATGCACAATGTAACAGATTACAGATTCTGAGAAAATTAAAAAAGCTAATTCCAGCATTTCTTTTTGTTTTGTTTTATTATTAGAAGTTCAACTTAAAATAAAGATTCAATATTATTTGGCATCAAATATGGTGCTATTGATGGCAGCCAATCCCCAATGCTCTAGATTTACTACAATCAAACATTTTTCCTGATCAATCTGTATTTTAGTAAATTAGTTTTATTTTTTCATTTCAATTACTGCTGATTTTTTATTATTTATGTTTTTAGAAACACATTTCAAAATCGATTCTAAACATCCTTAAAGAAAAAAACTGATTAAAATTTTTTAATTATTTTAAGGATCGGCAGTTGTTATTATCCCTTGCTATATTTAGGGAACCTATCAAAAGTTCAGGAGTTATTTTCCATTTCTGATTGTCCAAATGGAATTAAAATAACTTTAATTTATTACGTTTATTGTATAATTTATCATTCATAATTTTGAATAATAAAATATGTTATAAAACTAATATAGCATTGAGTAAAGCTGCTAGTTTGTAAATATTTTAGAAATGCTTTGACAGGTGTTGAGAATTCTTTGAGTGACCACTTCTCAGAATAACAATTTTTTATAAAAGAAAGTTCTTAACAAAAAATTTCACTCTAAAATTTGTATCAAAGTTGGCAAAGAAACATAATTTAAAAATATATATATATATATTTCTACTATTTTTTTATACTTATACTAATCACAGCTTTGATAAAAAAAGTTTATAATGTTTAATACTATTTAAAACAACAATAAATTAAGTACCTAATATTTTTTAACTAAAATGGTTAAAATAAGTATTACATTGGTATAATAAATTTGCTTATTAAATAAAAATATGCTTATTATTAAAGCATTAAAATATGCTTATTAAATAGCAAATTATTTTTCATACAGTTTCATACAGCAATACACATACACTAATGCACATTTAGTCTTTTTTTAACAATAAATAATAATTTAAATACATCACCTTTTCATTATTTTTCTAGATATAACCTTCAATATCAATGGAATTACTTTCCAAAAATCACAACCTTAAGAATATATTTATAAATTATTCTGAATGAAAAATATTTCTGAATTAAATCAATGATCTTTTTATCAAAAAAAAAAGAGTTAATTTAAATTATGACAACCCTGATTTTTTGAAGCAGACAAATGACACAAACAGTTTATCTTACTTATTTCTTAAAAATCCATGAAGTAATAATGCATTGTGATAAATCAACCTGTAATTTAGTAATAAAGAAAGCTTCAAAATAAAGTTCTTAAAAATTTGCAATAACCCAAGATATTTTTATTAATGATGCTAAGGGGACAGATAACTTGAAAATATTGTCGTATAAAAAATTATATGCAACATTTACAACAGAAAAATTCTTTTTTTCAAAGAAGTTAACAATTAAGAAGGAAATATTATTTAATAAAAAATTATTTTCCTCATTATCAATAGCGCAAAACATTCTTAATAATAACTCTCAAAATTAAAAATATTTTGATATTATTTTGTAAGTAATTTCATAATTTTAAATAGTGCAAAATAATTTGATACTAGACCAAGTAAAAAAATATTCAATTTTACTGTGAGTAAATATTGAGTAAATCTATCATTATTAGGATAAATAAAATATAAAATTTTGTTCATGTGTTAAAACGTAAAAAAATAAATAAATAAATATATATATAATCAGTAATTAAAAAACATGATAAAACACTGTGCAGCATTCATATAATATTTGGTAAAACTTTTCTTTTATAAAAGATTCACCTCAGTATCACTTCTGAATTTTTCTAAGGCTTCCAACAATGAGTCTACTTCAGAAACAGAATCTCCAGTATCGGGAATTTCAGCTAAATCTCTCAGATTTCCAGCTAGAGTCACCTGCAACTGCAATCACTCATTAGACACACATTTGAACAAAATTTTTTTTTTGTTGCAGATAATAAATAATACTCAGGGCTGGAAGTCCAGAATATAAAAATTAAGGACTAAATTGCTTTCAAACTTAAGGACAATTTAAAGGATTCTCTAATGGGAGCAATTTCTAGGATACCAACATAGATTTGCAGATATACAATTTTAGTAGTTCCTGCACTCAGGGCCGGATTTACGTATAAGCTAAATAAGCTGTAGCTTGGGGCCCCCAAATCCAACTTTTTCCTTCTTTTTTTAAAGTTTTATTCGGAGCTGGAGCCCTCTGAAGCCTAAAATACATTTTTTTTTCTTTTTTNAAAAACAAAGTTATGCAAAAGTTTCTCTTTTCTCTCTCTCTCTCTCTCTATATATATATAGAAGAAAAAGAGGGAAAAAATAGTATAAATAGGGAAAATCGTTAAATAGTAGCAAAATACGAGGTTTCTCTTTTGAAAATCAGTACAGTACGATACAGTGATGGAGGGAGAAAAGAGAGATAAAGAGTTTTATATGTATTTCTCTCACATGGAATGTTCCATACCAGCAAGTCAAGGGAAATTGTCTTCAACAATGAAAGCAAATTAATGCCATACTTGACACGCTATAAAGAATGAGGCGTTCATTTTGTTACATACTTTGTTTTATGGCACCTAGCAAATTTCTGAACTTGAAATTTCCTCACTTCTTTTTTTAGATAAATAATATTTATTCTTGCTATTAACTTCAACAAAAATTTGGAAAATACAAAATTTTCTGAACATTTATTGAAATTTTTAAAAAGTAAGGACACTTTTTTTAAAAATTGAAATTAAGGACAACTTTGAGCCTTGTATGCGATTACAGAAGAAAAAAAGAAGATTTGAGGAGTATTTAAAAAAAATTACAAAAAACCTGAGATGACTTACTTCTTTAAACTCCTGTTCAAATTTTCTAAGTTCAAGGCACTGACTGAGGCGCTTTTCATGTTGTGACCAAAATGAGTCAAAACCTTTTTCTGTTTCATCTAGCTGAAGAAGCAACCTATAAGACATTTATGACCATGAAAACAAATGATATATACCAAGTTCTCAAAATTAACTGCTTGAAAATTTGCCAAATTTGCAGCAATGCTATTTTATATTCAACTCTAAATGAACTACAGTTAATGTAAGATACATACTGACATTTTTATCTATATAGTTTGGTAAATAGGTGCAATCTGAATAGTTAGCCAAGTCTTCATTCATTATTTCCTCCAACATTTATGGTTGGGTAATTAGGTAAAAAATAAAAAGCGAGTGAATTAGTGAGCCAAGTAACTTTATTAAGAGAGATGAACTTGCCTTTGTATAAGCAGACGACTAAAAAGATTCTTAGAAAATTACTTTCAAAAGATTCCATTATAATCACACAGATAATTAGAAACTTTTAATCTTACAATTAAACAAGTTATGCTGTTGAATTTGTTTAGAGAAAAAATTTAGGGATAAGCATTCATGGAACACTTGAAGCAATGAATTGATACTACATTATCAACCAGGGCCGTAAAAGCTCAGGGGATAGAGCATTCACCTTCCAATGAGGTGAACCAGGTTCGAATCCCAGCGATGGCTGGTCAATACAATTCCGCATCCAGATTTCACTGACCACAGTGAAGACATAAAATATCCTCTGTGGTAGATAGATCATGGTTTAGAGTCTCCTTGCCGTCAGACTAACCATGGGAGGTTTTCCTTTCCATGTATCGCTAATGCGGGTTAGTTCCACCAAAAAGTCCTCCACAAAGGCAAATTTCTCCCACTACTTGATCCAAGAATTCCCTTGTCTTCTGGATGGAGTTCAAAATTATAAGACTAAGGAGTTGAACATTTATCGTTGTAAACCCAAAAAATTGGGTTAGATGTTTAACAACAGTTATAAAATAAAATACATAATTTACCAACTGAAACAGGCCGGGATAGCCTGGTCGGTAGGGTGCTGGACCCATGTCCGAGAGTTCGAATCTCGCTGGCCGAAGATTCCCTGCGTAGTAAATGGTGACTGATGAATGCTAAATCTGTCGAGTTACAAAGTCCTCCATGTTCCCATAACAAATCAAAACCTCTGGGGGTACTGGATAGGAGATCGATCGATCATTCTCTGATTCAGGTCAAAATTACGATCTGTGGATTAATGAATGGATCTGCCCTATAAACAGGTGCGAGGAATGTCTGTGGCAGAAGTCGAATTCTTGGCCACAGATGGCGCCACTGGAAAACAAGAACAATCACACCTCTCTGCCTAAACAGGCATACGTCAACAACAACAACCAAGTGAAACATATTTTTAAGCAATATATCTTGAAATTTTTTGAAATCAAATCCCACTTAATATGCAATCCTATTAAGTAATAAAACTAATGAGCATCGTTAGGATTACAAAATGAATTAAAAAATAAGCAACTGACCTTTGCACGGCTGCTGCATTGATGAATCGATCAGAACATTTGACCGCAATCACATTCTGCAGATTAGGCTTCCTGATGCAATTAAGGAGAGTCTCTCCGTGCATTGCTGCACATCGGATGTCTTCCTTCAGACTCTGGTACTCACCACCCTGATCCTCCAAGAGGGAGAGAGTGGACTGGACATCATTCGGAAACTCTGTTTCCTGAAGTCTTTGGGTCAATTCCCGCAGAGATGCTGAAATGTCCTGAAGGTTTGTAGTAAAATTTTCAACAGCCTACACAAGGAAAGCATAATTCAAAAGCCTTGAAATTGTTTCAGGTAACAAATTATTTAAAAAATAGTTTTAATAATTTTTTTTTACAGTGCACAAAAAATAGAAATAAATGTAAAATGGAATTTACAATTGTTTTTTTTAATAATAGTCTAAAATACTGTTTCGAACAAATTTTTAACACCCTATGTAGAGAAATAAAATATTAAAACAGTTTAAAAGGGAAATTTTTTTTTTTTTCTAGAGTCTATAAAGAAAAATAGAATACAATGCATGCAAATATAAAGCTTATCATTTATTCACAAACAAAATTGTTAAAAAATTAATGTTTTAAAATTAATTGTATTAAAATTAATCTTTCCAGTACAAATTTTTTACTGCCTACACATAACAAATTACTAACAAAAGTGAAAGTCGTGAATTTTTTAGCAATTTCTACAGAATGGAGTAAAACATAACAAAATGTGAAATTCATATTCTTTTAATGGCTTTTACAAACATTAATGGACTAACGAGATTAGAACTCAAAAATACACCTAAAAAGAAATTCATTTTTGAAGTAAATACCGCAAGAAAACATCAATTATACTTCCAAAACTTTCCAAAACTAAACAACTTCATTTTTTTTTTAAATGTTAACATTTCTGCACTATAGACACGGCATTTATTGGTTTAAAAAATAATAGGAGCATGTATACTTAACATTATACAAATAACCTTTGTGCTGTGGAACAGGTAAAACAAAATGATATAAAAAGGGAAAAGAAAGATGTGGGAACAATGCATTGAGATTTGACTGAAATAACATATAAGTAAACATAACACACAGTAAAACAATACAAAACAACAATACAAATCTCAAATAGCTCAAAATACTACTGTAGATAAAAAAATAAAAAAAACACAATAAACGCACCACACGCTGTTGTATCCATTCTTCATGATTGTACGAAATGGTTCCTCCTAAATCAACCGTCAGTTGACTAACCTCAATGTACTGATGTAAATGATCAATATTGCTACAAATTACAAGCTGAAAAACAAAAGATAAAATGAATTGTCACCTGACAAACATTTTTATCAATCTCTGGTATAGAACAAAGAGGATAAAAATTTAATAAATATTTTAAATTTCTTTCCATTATATAATTTTAAGGCACTTACCCGAAATTTAAACTCTTCTCTAAAGAATTTGTTACTAACTTCTGAAATAGCTTTCTGTAAAAAACCCAATGGACGAAGGACAAACACCACTTGAATGAGTCCTGGGAAGTACCCCTTAAAATAAACAAGAAGAGTTAAAAAAAACATGCAGCGTAGACAATGCATATAAGTAGAAGAAGTTAATTACCGAAATTTTTAAAAGAACTGTTTTTACGGAACTCCACTTATCATTCCTTCTATCTATTATGAGGACAAATCCCAAGTCTGCATCTTGTAGCCTAAAGCATTTAAATCAAATAAATAGAATATTAAATAATTTCAAACAAGAACGTGCAAAATAAGTTTATTTTTTACATATCAGAAAAAATATTTCTTGTATATTATTTGAATTACAACGAATTCATTTCAGGTTATTCATTTTTAAAAAATCTTGTCACCAAATATTTTGTTATCACAACATATTTAGACACTGAAAAGATTTTAACCCCTATTTTTACAGAAAATCAATTATAAACCAATCTATATTTAAATATTTTTAAAGATGAAATGGTAAACTAACTATGAAGTGTTGAAAAAAAAATTTACGACTCATTTTAAGAATTTTGTCTAAATTTGTTCACCATTAGCTATTCCAAAAGTTATAATCTTTAGTTCTAATACATTAAAGTTATATTTTCAAACGAAATATATTATGACACATGAAATTCGCACTGTGGTAAAAAGATTTGAAAATGTTCAGTTTCTAATTCTTCTAATACATTTTTCTAAATTCTACAAAAAAAGAAAAACTTCAACAACAAAATGTGTGCCCAGATCATTGGATGAACAACATTTGGATCAACATTGGAATGGATGAAAGGACTTTGAGATCGATCAGAGAGATTTCAGATATAAGTACAATATAAAATTGACATAAGGCAGTTTAATGCAGATGTATTAATTTCGTTGAAACCAAGTCTTAGTAGTGTCTTAAAATTGTCTTCTCTTGATGATTAATATAATTGTGAATTAATTTTTAATATAAATTTTCTTTTATTAGTTGTTGTTTGTGGGGTTTGTTAACCCCTTCAGTATGTATACTACTCCAGGCCTGCAAGTTTAGCAAGTATGCGTACTAATACGAGAGTACCGTATCGAGATCCGTGTGATCTTTGATCGCTAAAATCAGAAAGACTAGTTATTATCACTATAGATACCATAGGTCTGTGAAGAGAATTGTGCAATTATTTATATATATATGTGTGTGTGATCACTGTCCTGAAGGGGATTAAGGATGTAACAAATAGTGATTCTGCCAAATATTGCATATTCTGCAGCATTTTATAAAACAAAAACATTAATAAATAATATTTTTTTTATATACAAAGAAGTTTAGTCATTATTGAAAAATAATAAAAACTTAGCTGTATTATTGGTAAGGGGTAAAAGAAAAAAACCTTTGATAAAAAATTTTAAGATAATAAAGATAATTAGATATCAAGATAATAAGAAATATTTAAGATAAATAAAAAACTGACTAAAAGCAATTAAGAAAAAATTAAAGTTGTAAAGTTGAAAAAAAGAAAAAAATCATCTTCTTAATTTTTAAAACAAAACTTTATTGCTAAAAATAATATTTTCTAGAAGAAAAAAAATCCATAAAACATTAAAAGAGGTGGTATCTAGTAGAAACCCTTTTAAAAATGCAGCGCTATCATAAAAAATCCCATAAAAAAGATTATATACAAAAGCAGAAAAAAGATCTTAATTTTTGAAAGAAAATTTTAAAGCCAAATATATCAATTTTCCAATTACCGTGTTTTCAAATTTAAAGTTAAAAATTTTATTAAGTTTAAAGTCTAATAAAAAACAAAAGTTTTTTGAATAAGCTGGAAGAAACCAAAACAAAAACCGTTCTTAATTTGTAAATAAAATATTTAATGCTAAATGTCTTAATTAAATTTTTTCACAATGCCGTATTTTTAGAAAAAAGTGACCACTAAAGAATAAAATTCATAAGATATGCTCTTTAAAAAATGATACGATAGTTAAAAAATGCTCAAGAAAAAAAAAATTGATATAAAGTTAAAGAGAATTTTTTTTCTTAGTTCTGAAATATAACGTTGAGAATCACAGTTTTCTAAGTGAGTGGTTAACAGTCTTATCATACAAGTGACAAAAAAAGAATTAAGTTTATTAGAAACACTCTGTCAAAATACTGCATTATAGTTAATACAGAAAAACAAGTAAAAGTGTAACAAATGAAAAAAAAGAGGTTCTCAGTTTTCAAAACATAAAGCGTTGAAAAAACACAAAACTGACCTGCCTGAATATAATTTCAAAAAAATCAGCACTACAAAACTCATGGTTCAGTATAAATTCTTCTAATTTCGTTTTTTTCATTTAGCTTTCAGATCATAAATTATCAAGTTTTAGAACTTAAGAAATATGTGTAAAAACAATTTCTTATAATGTATAGTAAAAAATACAATTTTTGATTACTCTTTCTTAAATCTATTTAAATTTGCCCTCCAAAAAACACTTTGTCGAAAAATGCTTTTCCAAATAATAATAGGTCGAATAGCGAATATTCATTACATCCCTAAATTATTAGTTTTTTCCCCAATGTCCACCTTTGTTGACTTTTGGGAAGTCAGGCATTTAAGGGCAAATTTGCTGGCAATTCCTTCAGGGGCACCATATTAGGTGGGCCAACAATGCTCTCACAGTAAGAGCAGATAGTACAGAGAATGAAACAACATTCATGCCTTGTCCGGGATTTGAACCCAGAATCTTTCTAATGCAAGGCCAGTTGACCGACCCCTACACAGTTCGGTCGACCATTCCTACATTAAAAAATTTATTCCAAGTGCAAATGTTCTTGAATATGTTAGTTTTAATTTATCAGGTTTTGGTTATTATTCTTTATCAAATTTACTTTCAGATAACATCAAGTTTTAAAGAATAACTGCCTTTTTTTATTTTATAAAAGCAAAAAACTATTTCACTACATTCCATTCAACCGAACGCTCGCCCCAAAAAGTTTGAAAATCAGTACCTATCATAAATACAGATGATAAAGTTCATTAAAATCTATCATTATCAGCTGTGATTAAATAAAATAACTTATAATCAACCTAATATAAAAAAATTTTAGAAGTTTAATCCCTGTAGGAAATTGCTGCATTTAATTTAAATAAAAAATTTGAAAAATTGTCAACCTTTCCAACTTAACAGTAAAACTTTTCAAATAAATAGTAAAAAAAAAATCAGGATTGGACAGGATTTGTATTTACTTTAACAATTTTTTTTGGTAAATTTTTTTTAAAGAGAATTTAAAAAAAAAAAGTATTACCTACAAAGGAAAAAATGACAAGGTTATTGTTTCTTGGTTTGAATCAAAGCATTTTAAAAAACTAGAAGTGAGAGTTGCTTAAAAAGGATTATGACACAAAAGAATTATCCGAATTGATATTAAAAAGTGATTAGTAATTCAAACACAATTTAAAAAGTGTAGAGATTTTAATGCTTTTCCAGTAAAAAATTGTTTTACAATAAATAGCTTTCCCTAGAGTAACAACATTAAGAAAATAGTTCAGATTGCTGGCGTTACAATAATTAAAAAATATTCCTAGAAACACCAGTCAAAAATTTTGTTGGCCTCTTTTTTTAGAATCCATGGCATCTAGAATGGGTTGGCGCTTTGCGTGATAGCGTTTTTGCAATTCTTCAATTTCCCGTTCCATTTCTGAATCTAAATTAGACATATGATGGCTCAGCTCATCAAAATTAAGAAATCTCAAAAAGCTAAAGTCTCGAGCATTGAAGTAACTGCGAAATTTTGTTGCATCAAAGGCTGGGTGAGATTGGTTTACGTGGCTAAGCTCTGGATGTGCATTTGGAGGAGGATAACACTCAGGCACGACAGGAGATTTCATATTTTCTGGTTGGAAATAAGTAGATTGAGTTTCAGTATTTGGCACAGAATCTTGAGATTGGCTTAAATAAGCTTTAGTTTTTTGCTGTTGTTCTTTCTCTTTTTTATCAAAGTGATCTAAAAAGAAAGGACGGTAGTTTTTATCCCGATGTTCAGAATTTCTCTTTTTCATGGTCGAGTCATCGTCCTCTCCGTCACTGATTATAACAAGTGTCCCCAGATCGGATTCGATGTCGCTGTTGGCGATAAAAGTATTGGCATCAGAGTGTGCTATCATCGTCAAGTTTTGATTGCACTCACTTTTACTAGGTACGAGCGTATCCGAGTCGCTGCGAAATTTCACGGTGCGCGAATCCACCTCATCCTCGTCGTAGTCGGGATTACCGACTCTTTGAAAGCTGTCACTGTTTTGAATCTCTTTTGCTTCTGCAATTATTTGCTGCAAAATAGTAACAGGTTTTGCATTTTTTATATAGCCATGCTGCAATAACTCTTCCGCCGTGGCTCTTTCCTCGGGGTTTTTTACGAGGCACCTCGAAACGAAGTCTATGAATTCCGACGACCATCGATCTAAATCACGAAATGAAGGCGGCGGTTTACCAGGAATCATGAAAATAGCTCTCATCGGGTGGATGTCTCCGTAAGGTGGTTTACCCTCGGCCATCTCCAACGCCGTTATGCCCAGACTCCAGATATCCGCCACGCAGTCGTACCCGATCTCTTGAATGACTTCGGGTGCCATCCAGAATGGAGTGCCAATAACAGTATTTCTCTTAGCCATGGTGTCTGTGAGTTGTCCAGCAACACCAAAATCAGCTAACTTGGCATGTCCTTCCGAATTCAGTAAAATATTGCCAGCTTTAATATCTCTATGTATTTTGCGCCTGCTGTGTAAATAACTTAAACCTCTTAAAGTGTCACAAAGTATGGTGGCAATTTCATGTTCCATCAGAGTTTTCTTTCTGATTCTCATGAGATCTGATACAGATCCTCCGCCACAATATTCCATCACGATCCAAAGATCAGTGCCTTTAAAGTAGCTTCCATAGTATTTAACAACATAGGGGCTGTCACATTGCTGCATAATAGAAATTTCCTTGATGATTTCTTGAAGGTCAGTGTCGACGGGGACTTGTTTAATGGCTAAAACCTGACCAGATTCTTTGTGAAGGGCTTTGTAAACACTCCCATAACTACCTTCTCCTAATTTACAAATGATGTCGAACACCTCCTCAGGTTGTCTGGTCAAGCTCTCTTCACTCAATTTTTTCAATTCACTCTTAGACATCTTCTATAATTGCTTGTAATTAAGTAATGTTCAATAACAGTAATAAAAAAATAGGGTACTTAAAAATTACTCGGATGTAACTATAATTAAATGCATTTATTATTTTTTACGCGCTTGTTTGTTTATATTTGGATCTGTGTCAAATACCTTTTAAACTAGCATGATCACTGAAGATCTTTAAGAGGTAGACACGGTAGCCACGTATAAGGATCTTTTCACTAAGGGGCATTTTTTACTGCACGCTATTCACGATTGCAATTGCATACGCGAGTGGAGTAGTCGGAAGTAATGAGGATGATTGCTGAACGGCGGCATAGGGAAGGATTGGACATAAGCTTGTGTTTAGAATAAAAAGAATGGCTTATAAACTTTGTCAATTAGAAAAACAACACAAATTAAAGAAGAACAGCTCAAAAGTGTTCAGGTTTAAGATGGCATTTGAACCCTCTACCTCTACGCTTTTGAGCGTTTGATGCAGGGCCTTTTCGATTGAACTTGATGGAGCTAGAAAAGTATAGCCAATATGAGTTGTAGTACAAAATTTCCTTGATGTACAATAAAAAATATTCTACTTTTGAGTGGATGAATTTTTTGAATTTCGAGTGGATGAATTTCGAAATGTGATCCGGAGTCATTCAAACTTAATCTAGGTTTGTCAATACGCTGCACGAATCAGGTTAGGATTTAAATATTAATTCAAATTAAATATAAGTATAAATTAAATGAGGAAAAACAACAACAATGTATTTGTATAATTAAAATTCTTGTTTAGAATACATGAAAAATAAATAAATAAACACATTGGGGTTGCAAGCAACATTTAAGAGAGGAACGAAGTTAAAGTTTATCAAAATCTGGCGAATTATTGATGAAGAAGGCGATATTTGAAATATCGAAATCTAATTAATTGCGAAAAGAAAGTACGTACTTATTTGCGTCGCACTAGAGCTGCTGTAAGCGATGGTCTGCGAAATATCCTCGAGGTCTGAATCGATGATCTGAAAGACATCACAATTTGGATCCTCTTCAGAGGGGATGGATTAATTTTGCAGCTCGATGGCCTAAGCTTGAAGTTCAGCACTTTATGATAGAACAATTTTACGAGGCTACTATGGCTGATCAAATTGGTCACTCACCCATTTACTGACAGCAGCCAGTGATGCGTGATTTCGGTGTTCTTCTGTGAACCGTGTCTTTACGATCAGTTCACTGCGGGACTGATTGTAGAAGAAAACTGAGATAATGTAAAATGCTACTACTGGAATTATTGGCAGGGATAGTCTGGTTGGCAGGGAGCTAGACTCACGTTTGTGAGAACGGGAGTTTGAATCCAGCAGGCCGAAGATAGTAAATGGTGACTGGTGCACATTAAATCTATCGGTCAAAAAGCCCTCCATGTTCCCATAGCAAATCAACATCTATGGGGGTACTGAATTAGAGATGGATCGTTCTCTTCAGGTCAAAATTAAGATCTGTGGATGAATGAATGGGTCCGCCCTATAAACGGTGTGGTAGAAGTCTAATTCTGGACCATAGATGACATCACTGGAAAACAAGAACCATTGCACTCCCTCTGCCTTAATGACTGACGACAACAGCAACAACTAGAATTATTATTCAATTCTCAAAGGCTGAATTTTCAAAAAATTTCAATGAAAAAGCTAATAAAATGAAGCTCAAATGATTTATTTTTCATGCCACAAAACTGAATAAAATAAATCTCTCACTATGTGAAATTAAATAAATAAAATCATTTGATTATTTAATTTCTTGTTCTAAAACACACTTAACCTTTCTAAAAAAAAAATTATGCATCTAAATAAAAATAATTACGTAGGCACGTTGGTGAGGTACAGAATCAATTTGTGGTAGTCTTCGTCAGAAAGACTCCAAAAGGCTCCTGTATCAGGAAATATTATGATAGGATATCCTTCTGTCGTCCGGCCACCTGAAAAAAAAAATTAATTGCTTACATTAGGGTGGCCCAAAATTCAAGCACGGAAGAAATTTGATAGAAAACACAGGCTTTTAAGTAAAAATGGTGAGATTTTTTCTTTGATTCATGAAGTATACAGTATAGTAAATCGGGAAAATAGTTTTGAAGGATGTACACGACCACTCTTTTGTCCAAACTTTCAATGACCATGTTTTGCATAATTATTGAAATTTAATGAAACCACCTTTCACTCCCCCTTTCATGATGGGATGGTTATGGGCTCATTGTCATTAGCCTTAGATTTGAAATAAATAAATAAAAACAATGAAAAAAGTCCGACGGCTCTCAATGAATTGATTTAGGCGGCGATTGTATTTTATATTTTAATTTATAACCGGCGTTGAAATCCGTAGCTTACAAGGTTACGGACTTCTTCCACTATGTGCTCGAATTTCTGCCACTTTTTTAATACGCAGTAAAATATCAACAACAAAAAATGGAATTGAGGATGTTTTTTTTAAACAAGATAGTTTTGTTTTTCAGAGAACACAAACGAAAAGCAAAAATGCCCCCATATGCTGAAACTAATAGATGAAAACGTCCTTTAAAATAATGTCAACAAAGAAAAGAAAAAAGCAAGCTTCAGCAATCATGCACTTATTTATTTTACGCGTTGCACCTATAAATTAATATTTTCCATAAATATATGGATAATAAAGTTCCTTTGAGAATGCTTTGCTGATTTGTCTTCAAATCACCTGGTCACCACCTTATAGTACATTCAGGTGTGGATACGCCGGGATAGTCTGGTCGGTAGGGCGCTGGACCCATGTCCGAGAGTTCGTCGGCTCGAATCCCGCCAGCCGAAGACTCCCCGTGTAGTAAAGTGACTCATGCACGTTAAATCTGTCGAGTCGCAAAAGTCCTCCATGTTCCCATAACAAATCAAAATCTCTGGGGGTACTGGATGAGATCGATCGTTCTCTGATTCAGGTCAAAATTACGATCTGTGGATGAATGAATGAATGGGTCCGCCCTATAAACGGGTGCGACGTATGGTGTGTCAGAAATCGAATTTTTGAACATAGATGGCGCCACTAGAAAACAAGAACAATCGCACCCCTCTGCCTAAAACAGATACGTCAACAACAACAGGTGTGGATACCGGTTAAATACGGCCCTCATAACGAAGAAGTTAAATAATGTTCAAGAGTGTTAATAGTATGAAAAATAAGTACATAGTAGGTTTCTGGATCCTTATTATTAGTGTACTATTGGATGAAATCAGTTGCTCAGGTTATGTACCCACCGTTATTATATTATTGTAATTTTAGTTATTTATGTATAAAAAGTACTTTCTTTAAAAAAAAAATGGTGAGGGTTCACGAGTTTTCGAAAACTAGATTGATTTTTTCTTACTTTAAATTAATTTAAATAATACTTTCTATTGAGAAAAAAAAGAAAAAACCCTTTTTCTCCAATTTTTATTATTTCTTTTCCTCCTATTTTTCAATTTGAAAATATTATTTCCATTCACTTCGAAAATGTGTGTGCTAGTTGAATTTATTCTCGATCTAGTATCTTTGAAGTCTAGACAGAGACTGCAAACACTTGGCCCTTTTTCACGAATACATTTTTACTAACTCGTCACTTTCGTGTTATGAGGATGAAATGACGTAACAAAAATTTCTGACTACTTCCCGATTCACTCAAGCACTGAAACCTCTATTGGTGCTCCATGTCTGATAACAATTTAAAGTTTAATCGTTTTCTGACCACCTACGCAGTTTTTTTTTGCCATAATTATGACCGCAAGGAATTTATAGTCAATGAATAATTCAGGCCATTTTCTGCCTAAATAGAGAACTTTAATCTGATCTGGAGTTCTGAGGCAAAGCAAGTTCCAATCGTTTCCTGGACATGACTCATTAGGAGAATCTTTATTGTCTTTATTTTACCGTCAAACACTTTTCGACTTTACTTAAACATTATCTAGAATTATGTTCCTGATAACAATACTATAATTTCTTAAAACGTACAAACACAATTTTCGTCTGTTTGTTAAAAATCGTAATTTTTACCACTTTTCGTCAGGCAAACGGACAAAAACTAACAAGAAGGAAATAATAAATAAAGACTTTAAAAATTACGTTTTTCAAGTAGACAAAAAAAGTACATAAATAAATAAAATAATATAAAATGATTTTTTGTTGTATATAAATCGAAAAATGTCGAGTGCATTATTTTCGACAGAAACTTTTTATTACCATGAAAAATTTCTCCACATCTTTCGAAAGTTCCTGGTTACTTTCGGTACTTTTTCCGAAAGTTCCCCGCATTTTTTGCTTTAGGCATGAAAAAATATTATTTTCTCTGTGTAAAGCAACTTAATAAATTCAATTTAGTTTTAATAGAATAACTGAGCAAAGACAACAAATACTAAATATACTGAGTGAATAAGTAAAGAAAGGTCACCAGTAATGATGGTATGCCTGGCTCGGAGCAGATGGGCTACATCTTTTACATTCAGCTGACAGCCAGCATCTTCCATTGTCTCATCTATGAAAAAAATAAAGGAATAAATAATATATGTAAATAATAAATGGGTTCATAAATAAATCAATAAATAAAAGGACTCAATGTGTCGTAATATTTAGTTGACAACTTTAATCAGGAATTTCAGAAGTGACTCATTGATTCGAAGTTAAAATGAATCATTTTAAGTTTGAATAAGGCACTTCTGTGAATTATTTGGTTTGTCTTGAGTGTTCCACGAGAAGACGAGGAGAAAATGCAATGTAACAAAAGTCATTTATCAAAATAAAGAAACCTGCACAAATATATAAATATAGTTTGTCTACAGAAAGAACTCCTTTCGCCATGAAGTCTAAGGCCGTTTGCTGCTATGGAAACACCGCATTTCAAAGCTTCTCTCTTCCCCCGCTTCCCTTTCTCTCACCGACCCGTGTCGGAACCTGTCTTAAATAATGACGCTACTTCAAATAGTTAAAGATGGTAACTATAGTAACCGCCACCTCTCCAGAGGAATGGCTAGAGGAGTTATTTACATGGGCAAACTATATGTATGCAGGCAAGTATAACTTTTATCGTTGCTTTTCTTCCTATTCAATATTTCAAAAAAACAACTCTTTTCAAATAACAAAGTGGTTTTCAATTCTCGATGAAAACACCTGGTTGTTGATGTGGTATGAATATGCTAATCTTCCTTTTTTTTCTCATTAAAAAAAATAATTCTGTCGATTTTTGGAACTCTTAGAAGTAGAAAAGTTTTGAAGGATTTCTTTTCCTTTTGCGAAACATTTAAAAAGAACAATTGTTTGAAAGGAATGGAAGAGTGGTAAATGCTTCCTGGTTGCAAATTTCAGATTTTCGATCATTAGAAAATTATTTTAAGAAAAATACGCATATTTGTCTCTATTATTCAAATTAAATCTCAATTGAGGTTTTTTGCAAATTTAGATCTGCGGCATTTGCATAATTAGACTTCATTATGGTTTTCATAAAATGTTTATATATATATTACGAGGCTACTA